ATTTCAGGTTTGGAGGAAGCCCTAGCCAAGACATTAACAGACTAAGAAGTAACAGCCTGAAACACGATACCGATCTTAGCCATGATGGATCGGAGGAGATATCCTCTCAGATTCAGAGGCAGTTTATCCAGGAGATTGAGCTTGCTGAAGAACTTGCAAAGAATATCGAACCTGGTATGTTTTTCTCTTGGTAAAAAAAGAAACCACTTTTGCTCTGTTTCTGTGGTATTCAAGATTTTAAAAGGTTTTCATCTACTTGGTTGTAGGAAATACAAAAATGCCTGATGCAATGGAGACGATATTTGAAGCCGCCCTTGATCTTGGAAAACTTGGGGGCGTAAGTTCCTTTACCCAAGAAAACTTGATAAATAAAAACAATCAGTTAGTGTATGCTCATTCTCATATAAATAAAAGAAAAAGATTTCAATTTCACTAGTGGCTGTGGCTTTTTCTGCAGGTTAAGGAGGTTATGGGAGAGATTGAGAACGCTGGTAACCAATATTCGAAAGCGGTGCGTTTGCTGGTATTCCTTCTAGTAGAAGCACCAATGCTGATTCTGAATCCACCATTGTCTCTCACAAACTCAGTCAGGTATCGTCTACGAACGTATATCGATATTCTCAGCAGAAGATTAAAACATCTGCAATCTCTTAGAAGAAGTTCAGTTGCTCAGATGCAAGGATCATCATTAGCCATGATGAACAAACAACCATAACCATTTACTTTGTTTGGGAGCTCTTGTTTCTTCATTTGTTTTTTTTTCCCTTAAAATAAGAGAAAAATGTAACTATTTGTACAGGAAATCATGTATTCTTATTCTTTTGGGGATCTGGAGGGACTTTGGGGGATATGATGTGTGTGTGATAGATGTTGTACGTTTTCTTTGTTCTATCTTGATCCTAATCCTTTATTCTTTTCCATATGTTTTGATATCAAAATTGTTATGATGATACATTGATTCTTGGATTCATAAGCTTTGTATAAGTAGATTTATGATGCTTTTGGTCATGAGTTTTCCTTTATACACTTTTGTCAATCCAACTTTCATGTTTGTCTCTCTGAATCAAACTTTCAGAAAAAGTTGAAAATCTGAAAATTTATTGTTTTCATATACAAACAAGATTTTGCTTACAATTTTTCATTAAATGAAGTCAAAACTAAGGTAGAGGTCACACATGCTATGTGAATCATGCAATGCAATTATGCAAGTATGTACTTCTCTTAATTTCTCATGTCATATCCTTCTTTTTTGTCTTGAGCTCTCTCTACACTTGTCTCGTACTTATTCTCACATACAAACTTTATTCTTCTCATAATCGTAGAAAATGAATTTAAGAGCAAGGACAAGAGTTTAAGAAGGGTTTCAGTTCCACACGAGTTTAGAATTTGTCGCACGTGCAATGGACTGAAGAGATGTAATTAGTACCCTGAAGCCAAAGAAAATAAGCGCCAGTGGCCCTAATCACTCTTGCAGTCACCACTCTCCGTTTCTTCTCCTTCGCAGTCTCCATTTCTCCACTGTCTGGCCAGATACAAGGTTAGGGTTTCATCCTCATCGCCGAAAGTTTCCAACTTTGAAATTTGCGTTACGTGTTGGCATCTTCTTTTCCCTTCATTTCTCGGTTTTGTTTAGTTCTCTAGGAAAAACGGACAAAGCTATTCTGCTTGATACATTTTGGGTTTTTGTTGTCTTGCAGAAGCTTGAGTGGAAGAATCTTTGATTGGTCGTGATTTAGTTGGGGATCGCTTCTTACCTGCTTTGTTATCAGTGTTTTATTTGTCGACTTATCCTTGTTTGAGGTGTTACAGAAGAGTGAAAATGGCAGGATGTGCAATGAATTTTCAGTTCTCGAGTGTCGTGAAATTGAGAAAGGAGATTTCTTCGTTGAGGATTTGCAATCGAGACTTTGTATTTGGAGATTTGGTCAAGGAAATGAAAGTGCCTGTTTTGCGGATTAAAGATGTTTCGGGTAGGCAAAGGTCGAGGCTTTTGATGGTTAATATGTCACAGTCTCCTGTTGAGCCGCATTCTAGTTTTGCTGCTACTGCGCAAACGAAAGGAGAAGAAGGTGATAGCATCTTAGGGAAAGACGACAATGTAAGAAATTTGAATGAACCGGCGAAATTTGAAAGTGATGGTAATGTTGGCGATGGGTTTAATGGAAATGATGGTAATGGTGGATTTAATAATGGTGGAGGAGGAGATGGAAATGGAGGAGGAGGTGATGGTGAAGACTATGAAGAGAAGGAGTTTGGACCCCTTTTGAAATTTGAAGAGGTTATGAGAGAGACTAATGCTCGAGGAGCTACGCTTCCATCTGATATGTTACAGGCTGCTAAAAGCTTTGGGATTCGCAAAGTGCTTCTCCTTCGGTACTTGGATTTGCAGGTACTTTTCTTCGTTTTATTTTATTCTTGTTTTCTTTCTGGAAAGAACACTTTAAGAGAAGAGTTTTGAGTCTCGATTTCTTGGATTTTAGAGCTCAGCTGGGCTTCTTGGGTTTGCTATAAGATCATGGTCTATGCTTCGCAACAGAATGTTAGCTGATCCATCTTTCCTCTTCAAAATAGGGACTGAGGTAAGCGAGCTTTCACTTTAATCTCAAATAATCACAAAGAACTTCACTATCAGAGCCAATCTTTCATTTAGAATTAGTTTCTCCTTGTACATTCACATTGAGTATGCAACACCATGCTTGTGTTTCATGTAAGTTCCTTTTTTCATGATCCAATAAATAGTAAGCATTTGATATTATATTTTCAGATAGTCATTGATTCTTGTTGTGCCACTGTTGCTGAAGTTCAAAAGAGAGGAAAGGATTTCTGGGCAGAGTTTGAGCTGTATGTTGCTGATCTTTTGGTCGGAGTTGTAGTTAACGTTGCTTTGGTCGGTATGTTGGCGCCTTTTGTCCGTTTTGGTCAACCATCTGCATCGAGTGGCTTCTTAGGAGGCATGCTTAATGCTTATAATGCGCTTCCTAGCAGGTAAAACATCCCTCCATTCAAGAAGATACTCAATTACAATACTTAAGTTTCTCATTTTGTAACCCGGTTAATAAAGTTTTGAGATGTTGAACTGATGCAGCGTGTTTGAAGCTGAAAGACCAGGATGTAGATTTTCCGCACAACAGAGACTTGCTACATACTTCTACAAGGTAGTTAAATTTTGACAGTGTTTGTCTCAATGGCTCCATAGCCGTTTTAGCTGTTGCTGATCAAAGATTTGTTACATTTGTTCAGGGTATAATGTATGGTGCAGTTGGGTTTGGATGTGGCATCGTAGGTCAAGGCATTGCTAACCTGATCATGACTGCTAAACGGTAACACACCTCTTTCCGCTAAAAGAGTCACTGAGCTTTTGGATGTGGCTTAACGTTTTCTTTTTGCCATTATCTTTCTCTCAGAAGCATAAATAAATCAGAAGAAGACATCCCAGTACCACCGCTCATCAAGAGTGCAGCTCTCTGGGGTACACTTATGCATATATTAGCTTCTCTACCTTATTTACTTCCACTTTACTAAACCATTAATCTCCATAACAATGGTATTTTAATTGCAGGTGTATTCTTGAGTGTTTCTTCGAATACTCGTTATCAGATCATCAATGGTCTAGAGAGAGTGGTCGAATCATCTCCTTTCGCCAAGAAAGTGCCTCCCGTGGCTCTGGCCTTTACTGTGGGTGTACGGTTTGCCAATAACATCTACGGAGGAATGCAGTTTGTGGATTGGGCAAGATTGAGCGGTTGTCAGTGAAGAAGTCCAAAACTCTTTCCTCTGTGTAATTTGATGAAACTATATATGCCTGGCTGTGTCTATGTTATGGATTGGGAACATTGGCCTAGGGCCTAATTTCAATAAAACACTTATAAAAGCTTTTTTTTTTTACAAAATATATTATACTATAATTTGAAGTTTGCCTTTAATTTTTTTTTCATTCATAAAAACATTAAAAAAATCTAATTAATATTGCTTGTAAATTTATATTTTGTTATACAAATTTTCTTTCAACAAATTGATTATAGCAAAAGTCATTTATGATTTAGTTGTCATTTTGTGTTAAGACTAATTGGATTACATCTTTATGGATAATTTGTATGTTGTTATTTGTTAGTGATCATATTGTATTTTTCATCTTTTACTTCTAATAAAACATTATATTATAAAATTAATTTTTTTAAAAAAACAAACAAAGCTAAAAAAATTAAACGAAGCAAAAACTACATTGTTCAAAGTTTACTACCAAATTTATTCAAAGTAAATAAAAAAATTATATTTTATATGATAATTTGAGATCACCGATATAGGTGATCACCTATAAAACTTATATATTTTAGATGACAATTTTGAGTAGGCTATATATAGGTCATCTAAAATATATAAATTTTTCATTTACTTTGAATAAATTTGATAGTGAACTTTGGACAATTTGGTAGTGGATTTAGGACAATTTGAATAAAATATAGAAGTTTTTTAATTTACGACTGCTTCTGTTTAGGGTTTTTATAAGTCTAGACACAACTATGTATATATGTTGTTGTAGCCAACTCGGTTTAGTTTTCAGTATGAGTACTACATTTCCGTTGTTATATCCAATCTTACAGAACTCGCTAGTTGAGCTGTAAAAGTAATGAATAAAATGATTAGAAACAGAGAAATGCGGGCAGTGATATGTTTTTAGAGAGCAAAATATTGAAAAACATTTTTCATTTGTGGAAGCAAAGAAAAGAAAAGAGAGAAACAAAATCAAGCACGCAAGAAATTAAACGACTTAGACACGAAACAGATGGTGAAATCTAAATCAAAGAAGCACAAACAAAATGATTACAAAATGAAGAAAAAAACAAAAGATCCATTCTTAACTGTACACGTCACTAAAACACAACCACCCCACTAAACATTCTTACTATAAGAATCATCAACGCACTAAGGACACAAAACAGAACAAAAGAACACTCAACAAACATAAGAAGAAGCATGAAGTGTTGTAGGTTTGTTACAGTGGCTTTGATGAGCCTTGTGATCACATTTGCTTCCATTGAGGCGGCTGGTGAGTGCGGTCGCATGCCAATAGGTCAAGCCGCAGCTAGCCTAAGCCCGTGTTTGCCTGCTACGAAGAACCCGAGGGGTAAGGTTCCACCGGTTTGCTGTGCCAAAGTGGGTGCTCTCATTAGAACCAACCCTCGTTGTCTTTGTGCTGTCATGCTCTCTCCTTTGGCCAAGAAAGCTGGAATCAATCCTGGAATCGCAATCGCTGTTCCCAAACGCTGTAACATCCGCAACCGCCCAGCTGGCAAGCGATGTGGACGTATGGATTCGAATCTTTGTAAATTTCGTGAGTAATATTACATGGAATTGACTTCACCTACTTTTTCTTGTTGTCTTTAAATATTTTGCAGGTTACATTGTTCCATGAAGAATTACAACGTCGATTGGGATGAAAATGATGAGGAGTTCTTGAGATTAAAATAAATGTTTTCTTTCACTTACCTTTGTAGAGGAGAAATGTGAACTATACATGCTTAATAATCTGTTGGACTATAAAAATATGCGTATGCCTTATCTATTATAAATTTATAATATATGGAAGTGTTTTCTGTTTTAAACTTATACTTGTCTTATACTGTTACAATTGGTTTGATGTGCTTCTGATTTAGCTGTCCCCTTCTCAAGAAAAGTTTTCTAAAATAATTCTGAAGATGTCAAAAGAAATAAAGAAATTCCTAGAGAAAATGATAAATAACTGTAATTCAGTGAATAAAATAGACGATAAATTAGCAACAGTAACACAAAAACAACAACAACAAAATCGGAAATTCAAGCATAACCAAAAAATATTAATTGCTTAAGTTTTCTTATTAAACTAAAGCATTAAATTTGTTCCAAAAAGAAACTAAAACCTTAAATTAAAGTAAATAATATGATTAGTCTTTTTCAAAGTCAAAGACAAATATATTTAGCGACCAATTTTCTTGATATTCGCACAACATAACTCTTTTTCTATCAATTCCGAACGTTCGGCAGACTGCAGTGACTGAATGAATGGGGTGCAGAAAACCGTACGGCTCTTAACTCACAGCAACAAAACAAAACTGAATTAGTCATTGAATATTAAAAGTACCAAAGAAACTAAAGCCCTACCAAAAAAAATAAAAATAAATAACAAATGAATTTTGTTTTAATCGCAATAGAAGAATCTTTTCAGAAAACAAAGAATCCAAGATTCACTTTCCACGTGGCGACTAAAGAAAATTCCACGTGTAATTACAGTCAAACCAGTCAAAGCCACAACGGATATTCTCTTGTCTCCCGCCTTTCTTTATAAAAAAGAGCCACACAACAACAAGAAAACAGAGATTATCTCTGCAACTCCATTCGACCTTTTTCTCAAAAAGCCTTTGCAAGAAAACAACAGAGAGAGAGAGAGAAGAATCAAGATGACGAAAATCGACACTCTCCGTCGTTATCTCCTCCCGTGTATCACACCTCCGACGAATCCAACCACCGCATCTGTAACCGGAGCAGCATCATCCACCGGAGTCTCCAAGAAACGTCTCAGCACTTCCCTCAGAGACGACCTCGACGTTAACCAAGACACAGCTTCTTCCTCCGCCTCTTCCTCCGAGGCTACTTCCTTCGCCGCCGCTTCCTCCGACGACTACCTTTCTCCCATCACGGCGCCGCAGAGACCTTCGAAGACGATGGTGATCGGAACTATTTTCGGGAGGAGGAAAGGACACGTGTGGTTCTGTGTCCAGCACGACCGTCTCTCCGTTAAACCGCTTCTCCTCCTCGAGCTTTCAATCGCCACGAACCAGCTAGTGCAAGAAATGGGTTCGGGTCTTGTCCGGGTCGCTCTCGAATGCCCGACCCGACCCGAATTGAAGTCTTGCCTCTTGAGATCTGTGCCGGTTTGGACCATGTTCTGCAACGGGAGAAAGTTAGGGTTTGCTGTACGGAGGAGCGCTAATGAGGAGACGAGGGTGATGTTGAAGAGATTGGAGTCGATGACGGTCGGGGCGGGCGTGTTACCAACTGGATCCGGGTCGGGTGAATCGGATCTTGATGAGGTTATGTATATGAGGGCAAACTATGAGCATGTTGTGGGAAGCTCTGACTCGGAGTCGTTTCATCTCATTAACCCGGACGCTAACTCGGCTCAGGAACTCAGCATCTTCTTGCTCAGGACGTCTACCTAAAATGCCTTTTTTAGGGTAACTTATGAATCTTTTTTTTCATCGAGTTTCTTTTTCGGGATTTCAGAGATTTTACCATGACAGTTGAGAAAAATCAAGATTCTTTTGGGTAGAGAGATTCAGGTTTTAGTGTTTAGAGATCGTTTATTTCCGACAAAGAGCTTTAGTGTTTTTGAGTTCTCATTCTTGGTGGGATCTTTTTGGGTTTCGAGTTCTTGATCAATGTTTACTGTTTATTTTTTAAGAAGATATATGATTTTTCAAGATTTCCTCTTGTATAATCCTTTTTTGATGTAACAAAACGTTGTACAACATCTGATTTTCACAATTCTGTGTTGAAATCTTATCTTGTTACGAGTACAAAAAGAGCATAAAGTATACCAAAACTTACTGTATCATTAAGTGTAAAATTGGTGAAGGAATAGAGTCAAATAGCAAATGAGAAGACAAAATTGTTATGTCAGGAGATTGCTCGCGTGGAAAAACAGTGTAATGATGCATTTGAATGTTAAACACCCAAATGCAACTAACCTATACACTGGAGAATCTGCTCTCTCTCTCTCTTTTTCACGGCACTAAGAACAGTAAAATTTCCTACTAAAGGCAAAGGGGTTTGAAAAGATGGGCGAAGGAAACAAATTTGTTGTTCCTTTCTTCTCCTAATATAAAGCAAGCTAAAGCACTAAATTCCTCTAAGTATAAGGGGCAGGAGGAGACAAGAGCATCTTCAAAGACTCGTATATCATGAAGGTGATGCCAACGCCAGGAACCACTTTGTAATATTCAGGCAATAATCCTCTGTACAGCCCTCTGATGCTTTCTGTCTTGAATATGTGTTTGAATGTCCCTAAGAGTCCCGTGTTGTACACCCTCGCTCTTCCACCGGCTCCTTCTACTTGCATTCTTCTTCTCACAAGATCCAATGGGAACGTAGCTACAGAGTTATTGTGGCAAACGGAAATTGTCAAATACACTGATGCTTATAGTAAGAGGAAGATTTGTCTCTAGGAACACAGCTTGAAACTTCAAAGCCAATATCCAATATATACTGACAAAATGGTTTAGTGTCTTGTAGCTAGAGAGAATAACAAACCTGTTGAAGAAGCAACTCCAGCTAGACTTCCACAACCAAGACTAACAATCAATGTTGAATCATTTGGCCTGAACAAGTTCCAAAGAAAATAGTAAGGTATATATGCCTGAGTTTGCTTCCAGATGAACAGAAATACTCAATAGGCGATCACAAAAGTAACAGAAAAAATCCTAATTAAAGATGACTTTTTTACCTATGAGATCGCCAATATGATTTCATAGACTCATACGCAGCAAAGTTGATTGCAAGGGTTGGCCCAACACCCTGCATCAGAAGAAGATGTACAAAGAAGCAATTAGCAATCAACAGACTTGGCACAAGAGAGCAAGGGAAAGCAAACAAAACGTACCAACATTGTAGCACCAAGTCCTTTATATAGACCCAAAAGTCCCTCATCTCTGCATATGGTACGAAATGCATGCCCAATACCCTGGTAATACATTGCATTTCTCTGGGAAGGAACAAATGTAATGCATTCAGGCCACGGACAGGACAAAGAAACACTGCACAGATCAAACACAAGAAGAAAACCAAGAAGAAAACCAAACCTGAGCAGCAAGACGTGTCCTAACAAGATCGAGAGGATATGTAGCTGAAGCAGCTGTTATTCCAGCCAAGCCACCACTTACAAAGTGCACAAACGGGCTGCTACTCGCGTTTCCAATATAACTCTGTAAGACTGGATTCGAATAGAAAAACTGCAAAAGAAATGACATTGTTAGGCTGAGTGAAAAATCATGATAAACGGTAACAAAGGCCACAATTTAAAAAAAAAAAAAAGATGAAGAAGACTAGAATGCAACTCACTTTATTGTATTTTTCATATGCATAGAAGTTCAGTGCAGAGTAGGGAAGCCTGTGGGCTACAGTAACAAGATTTCCTTTCCAAAAGGCTCTAAATCCTTCCTCGTTAATAATACGGGAAGCTTCACGCCATAAACTTGGCCTGCTTAACACTGCAGCTTCTGAATGCATACCTTGCAGCTGAAAGAGACAACAAAAAAGCTTTTACCAAAAAAATAGAGACAAGAAGCTGAGAAGGCAAAAACAATGTAAAATGACAAAATTTGTGATAAAAAAAAAACCAAAAAGGGCCAAACAAAATTATTCATGAATTCGCCAAACGTTCTAAATTCACTGTCCTGAAACTTCCCAAAACTCAAAAACTCCAGCTCCTTAATGAACAAACCAAGTAGCAAAACTAAAAAAAAAACAATTTTTCAAAATCAAAAGAGAGGGCTCGATGTCGAAACAAGACCTGAAACAAGATGGTGAGGCGAGCTAGAGGAGCGGTACAGGTCTTGCTGAAGGCGCCGGCAATACCACCGGCGAGGAGATTCTCAACGATGCCGAAGTGAGCCTGCGGCTTAATCTGCGGCTGTTTCTGTGATAAACTCATGGTTCCGGCATCCACAACGCTCTGAGCTCCATCCACCGCCACACCGACTCTAGCCTCAATATTCATCTCTCTCAATCTCTATGTCTAAGAATTTACCCGTCTCTGGGTTCGCGAATTCGGATTCGAAGGTCACATGAATTGAAGGGAATTGAATTACGGTGGAGATCGGAGAAATCGACATGGGACAGAGTAAGAAAGGAAAACTCTGAGAGAAACCCTAAAACTTGCTTGGAGAAGGAGGAGGGTATATTGGTCAAAACAGCTAGATACGGAGATACCGGGAATATGCGTCACACTTCGGTTTTCTCAAGAATAAAGTTTGGTTTTTTTTTGTTCCTAATGACTTTTTCTTTCATTGAAAGTATCTCGGTTTTGAACGGTATTTGGTAGTATCAATGATTGATTCCAAATTTTACTAATTGTATTTCATAGAAATGGATCGGATAGAAGATGGCATGCATATCTGAATTACATGACTATGTTTTTAGTACATATAATTTCTTTAGTATTTGCAAGCTAGGACGATTATACTTAAGTTTCCATCATATCAAAGTTAATTATGTCTTTTTCTTAGATCTAATCGTTTCGATTTGTATTATTCGAGGAGTTGATTGATGATTCCAAATTAAAAAGAACCAAACAAAAGCATAAGACTATGATTATTGCAGAGTCTTTGTTGAGTTTCTTAGGGTTTTAATTCTCAAAATTAAATCAAAAAAGTTTAAAAGGAAAGGGATCGATCCTTATTTGGGCAAGGAACGATTCTTCTTACCCAGGTGGTACCATATCATTGGTTAAAAAATCTTGTGGAGAAAATTTTTCATTTCAATCATCATCTCCCCGGCGTCGATGGTCGTCTTCTCCCTCTCTCACTCTACTAACTTCTCAACTTGCGCCTTCTTCCGAGCCTTGGCCTCCTCCTCCCGCTCCCAATCTCTAATTCGCTGATTCCACTCACGATCTCGTTCACCACAGTCATATCCTTTGTCTCTCTCCCGTCCCGATCTCGTTCATGGCAGTCTTCTTACTGCGGTTTTTATTGGCGGAATCGAGTGTACTCACTGAAGAAGGTCCAAAGACTTAGCTGATTGATCGCTTCATCATTGCTTGAGAATCAAAGTATTCGCTTGGTCGATTGCAGAAGGCAAAAGCTTATCTTCAATTTTTTTTTGTTTTAACCAAAAATAATTTTACCAATGGACCACCCAAAAACATTGGGTTTCTAATAAAGTTTTTAGCCCAAATATATTACTAAAATATTGTAAAGAAACCCCTTAGGGGTTTTGGCGATAATCATGCTCTAACATTTCACCTTTTCTTCGGGTTCAAAACCGAGATTTTATATAAATCCAATCCAAATTTTAAGTAAAATCTCGGTTTAAATAAAAGACCGGACCGAAACCCAAATACTGTAGTGTGTGGATTTTTTTTTTCTCATGTTTGTATGGTCAGAGACAGTGTGAAAAAAGCCACACTGGTTTCAGCGTAGATTCAAATCCAATTACAAGATTTATCATATAATATTATGGCATCAAAGCATCACATTCTACGTATATATATCCCATTTTTACCAGTATTTAAATGATTTGATTGACAAGAAACTAAAATCTTTGAATGTACAGATATATAAAACATTAAAAGTCTAAGGCAATGCAAACTTCACAAGTTATTTGTTCGAAGGAATTCATCACCCACAAAGAATGTAAAGTATAAACCGAGAATGAATAGTTAAACGTAGCGATTTTAATTAATCATTTACCCTCAAGTCTCAATAAAAAAAAATGAAGGAAACTAAGCTCAAAATTGGTATTAAAAAAGATTCGATCGAAACCTAGTTCCTCTCTCTCCCGTGGCTCCATCTCTCTCTAGGGTTTCAGATTCCATAGTAAATACAAGATGATGCGGAACATGGCGATGCTGGGAAGAACGTTTGTGTGGTGGCACATCAACAGCTGTCCGATTCCTGAGGGTTTCGATCCTTGTCTGGTCGGTCGGAGAATAGAAACGGCGTTGAAGAAATCAGGCTACTCTGATCCTGTCACCTAAGAGAGGGAGAGGGCCCTGGTGATGACGTGCTACGCAAGCTTTCTTCCAGTGGAATCTCTCTTATCCATTCCACTCGTTAATCTTCTTTCTATCTCTAATTCTATAATTTCTTAGTATAAATGGATTTATTTAATTTAGGGTTTAGGTTCAACGTTGCTTCCCTTTACTGAACCAGGACCTGCATCGGTGTTGTCTTACCTGTCTCTGTGGAATTCACGTCCGGTTACTACAATGCTCATATTTGGTGGTCATAATCTACTGGAACTGCTACCTCTTATACTTGACTGCGACGTAGAAAAAGGATACAAATATCTCCTGGCATATGATCATCAACTAGTTCCATCCTCATCCTCGCGCTGTAAAGTCTTTCTGAATAATGCTAGTAAAGAGTGATTATGGAAAAGCTTACTGTCAGGTGTTTGTCCTCTCTCTTTCTCTCTCTCACACACTGTGTGTTCTCTCTCGTGTTGAAATATATGTAACCAGCAAAGCTGTTTCTGAGCTAATTAGTTTTTTTCTACAGATGATATGGATTCAGGGTCTGCGGATTAAACACACAAGACAACAAGGCTTGTTCTTCAGGACAAATACACTGAATCGGTTGAATCTCCCTTGTGGTGCCGTGTATGCAATTTTGCTGGCAAAAGCTTTGAACATTTCAGCACGCATCTCAAGAGTAGAAGACATGGAATTTCGGTAAGCCTCTTTCTCTGCTAGCTTCTAAATATTGTCATCAAAACTTTTTTCATTTAATGTCTTTGTACCACATGTTTCCCTTTCAAAGAAAAATGCCCTGATGTGTGCAATTGGTTGTTTTCGAGCAGGAGTGGGACTTATGGGCTAGTCATAGAGGTGTGTATCGTAATAACCCTGATGTCTTTATATGGGGTCGATCAAAGGCAAGTTTATTATCTCTCAAGTTAATATTTCTCATTTTTGGAATGTACAATTGCGTTCAACTAGAAGACCCCTTTCACAGCTTACCTAATTGTGTCATTGTCACAATATTCCCTTTCAAAGAAGATACCTATCTGATTCCGCTTGTTGTGCATTTTGTTTTCAAGTAGGAGTGGGACTTGCTCAATCTTGAAGACTTGGCGGGTTGTGGTTGTCCTGATGTGTATTTGGCTGTCAAGCGGGAGTGGGACTTATGGGCTAGTAATAAAAGTGTGGATGGTAGAAACCCTGATAACTTTGTATGGCGTGGATCAAAGGCAAGTTTTGATATCTCTCAAGTTGAGATTTCTCATTTTTGGGATGTACAATTGCGTTCAACTATACCGATGTGACAACTAACCTTATTGAAGTTACTAATTTTTGGAATTTATGATTTGAGTTTCAACTAGATCCCAGATGTGGAGTAGATAGCATGATTTACTGACTTTGGTTGATGCATGCTAAAACAATGAAGGAAAAGTGCAAGAAGAGGAATGCTGAAGAAGAAGCTGAAGTAGAGGACTAGAGGGTGACCGCAAATGCTCATCTAAAGGAGAAGAAGAAGAGTACATGGCCCATGTGGTGGTGTTGTTCTTCTCTAAGGAATTTCATATGGTTGATGGTTTGTTCTACCTCTAGCAGGAACTGTTGTGTTACTTATGCTGGTTTTCTAGTCTCGTTTTTAAACTAAGCTAATTAACTAATACTTTTATCAACATCTTTTTGAATTCATATGGCGAGTAACAGGATAGTATGTTCGATCGATTAGGGTTTTGCTTGGTCATCAAAAGATTACTAATGTGACAAAGATTACTAATTGCATGACAAAGATATTTTTATCGATACATTTTTCATTTAATGTCGCCTTTCCACATGTTTCTTTTTCAAAGAACAATTCCCTGATGTGCATTTGGTTGTCATGCAGGAGTGGGACTCAGTGGCTAGTAGTAAAGGTGTGGATCGTACTAACCCTGATAACTTGGTCTGGGGTCGATCAAAGGCAAGTTTTGAAATATCTCTCAAGTTGACGTTTCTCATTTTTTGAATCTACAATTGCGTTTCACTAGACCCCTTTCACAACTTACCTTATTGTCATTTGTTTTGTCAAGCAGGAGTGGGATTTGCTCAATCATCAAGACATGAAGCGTCGTGCTGCCCTGGTGGAGAGTCTATCAAAGAGAGAGACTAAAGTGGGAGTAGAAGAGGGACTCTGAATGATCATCTAGAGAGTTCGTCTGCGAACTAGACGTTGAAGATGAAGTTGAAGAGTACATGGCTCATGAGTTATTTTTTTTTCTCCATTTCATTTGGTTAATGGTTTGATCTACTTCTAGCGGGCATTGTTTTGTTAATGGTTTGTTCTACCTCTAGCGGGAATTGTTTTGTTAATGGTTTGTTCTACATATGGTTTATGGTTTGTTCTACATATGGTTTATGGTTTGTTCTAATGTCAAACCAAAGAGTTACTATTACTAGGCCTTTGACCAAACAAACATAGAGATCAAAGAAGATATAAAATGTTCTACTGAATAGTGCTGCAGTGCACCAAACTTAAAGCACCCAGAGAAGTATTGTGTAGTCTTGCTTTGCATCTAAATCTGTTAAGGGTTTGTTCTAATGTCAAACCAAAGAGCTTTGCATCTAAATCTTACTGAAAGCAACCAGAGAAGTATTGCTTTGCATCTAAATCTGTTAAGGGTTTGTTCTAATGTCAAACCAAAGAGCTTTTTGACCAAACAAACGTAGAAGTCAAAGAAGATATAAAATATTCTACGGAGGAGTATTTGTAATCTTGTGCTTTGCAGCTAAATCTGTTGTAATTAGTATACGCACCATGAAGCTGTTATCTGATTTACTAACACATCAAAGAAGAAACACTGCTGAGTACTTGAAGTAGAATCTTAATGATAACCCCCGTGACAATCACGGGAAGAGTGGAGGAAGAAGACGAGAGAAGAGAAGAGAAGAGTTTATCCTTAACAGTTGGATTCAGAATGTTTTTTTTGGGTTCAACTAGACCCCTTTGAAGACTTACCTTATTATCATTTGGTTGTCAAGCAGGAGTGGGACTTTCTCAATCGTCAAGACATGGCAAGTCGTGCATTGGCTTGTCGTCCGTATAAGCACTCTATAGATACTACCGTGGTGGAGAGTCCATCAAAGGCAAGTTTTGAGATTCCTCATTTTTTTGGAATTTACAATTGAGTACACCTAGACCCTAGATGTGGAGTAGATAGCATGATTTTGGATTTACTGACTTTGGTTGATGCTAAAACATTGAAGGAAAAGTGCAACAAGAGGAAAGACTGAATAAGAAGAAGCTGAAGTAGAGGAGGGATCCCGAATGCTTATCTAGAGGACTGTGAACTAGACGATGAAGATGAAGATGAAGAATACATGGCTCATGAGGTGTTTGTTTTTCTCTAAGGCATTTCATATGGTTAATGGTTTGTTCTACTTTTAGCGGGAATTGTTGTGTTAACTACTTATAGTACTTGTGCTTATTTTCTACACTCGTTTTCTAGTTTAAGATAACTAACACCTTTTTATCAACTTCTTCTTAAATTCATTCTCCATACAATGTTTCTACATATAGGGTCTAGTTGAACTCAGTTGTAAATTATATATAGCCTTATAATTTTTATTATTGGAAGCTTGGGATGAGTGTCATTAAGTTCTCATCATACAAGATATGTCTCTCTCAAATCGTTTCGATTTGTATCTTTCGACAAAGGTTATTAACTCCAACAAGAACCAAACAAAAGCAATAACACTTTTTGGTTTTCTTTCAGAACCGAGATTTATATAAATTCAAACCAAATTTCATTAGACCGATCAAAACCCAAATGTTCGTATCTGGTCAGAGACCGTGTGAGAAATGTCACATCGGTTCAACGTAGAAAAACCAATCGGAAATTCAAATCCAATTACAAGATTTATCATAAAATATTTAGCGTCAAAGCTTCACAGGTTACGTTTCATAAATATTCAAGTTTTATCCGTAACTAAATCTTTGAATGATCTAACAAAAAAAAACTATATCTTTGAATGTAAAAACATATAAATATTAAAAGTCTAAGTCAATGCAGACTAAACACGTTATTTGTTTGCAAGAAAAAAAAAGGGGGCAAAAGATGAATATAGCGAGACATTTTTTTGGCATCAATATATATATCGAGACTCAATCATTACTTTCAACTCAAGCCTCAACGCGTGTTGTGTAACATGGAGGTTGTGGCAATAATCGTCATAGCCTCAATTGCTCTTATTGTTGTTTTGGGGATTCTTACGGTCTTTTGTAACAATGGACTCGAAGGTGATCATGGAGGTGGCGGCGGTGGTGGTGATGGAGGTGGCGGCGGTGGATGTGGTGGTGATGGAGGTGGCGGTGGGGGAGGTGGAGGTGGTGACGGTGGATGTGGTGGTGATGGAGGTGGCGGCGGTGGATGTGGCGGAGACTGATTTAATTAATGATTTAATGGTTTTGGTTTATCTAGTCTTCTTCTATGTCTAGGTTTGTCTTTCATGTTATGTTTCTTTGCTTCTTACAAGTCCTACGTCTGTTTTCAGGACTTGGTTTTTTATTTCTTAAAAAAGAAGGTACGACTCTAATTTGTTGTAAAATTGATGTTTTGTTTTGGTTGCAACTTTGTAACTAAAATGAGTGACTATCATATTGATAAAAGTGGCTGCCAAAATAGGTAGATCCATTCGTTTACGTATGTAAATCCGAATTCAGCAATCCATTTGTTGAAAAATTATTGATGTTTTGTTTTGGTTGTAACTTTGTAACTAAAATTAGTGAGTATCATATTGATAAAAGTGGTTGCCAAAATAGATAGATCCATTCGTTTATGTATGTTTAGGTAAATATCGTAAATTCCCAACGTTTTGGAAATCGCGCGAAAATAATTTAAATGATCTATTTACCAAAAAAATTCTAATACAAAGATGACTTCTCAATTTTTTTTTGTTTTTCCTTCTAAAGAAGCTTGGCAACATATACTTGCATTGCAAGACTTGTTTATTTAGGCGACGGACTCGGAGGAATCAGCTTGGCTTGGCTGCACGGTTTTGTAAGGGCATCTCTTTGCCACAACCACAAAGACACATATATTGGCAGCCATAACACTGGCAAGAAACCAGTAGAACCGGTCCAACCGGCTGCTGTTCAAGTCCTTCCCAAACCAACTCTTGGCCGAGAAATCCTCCGCTAGAGTATCCACGGCTGTGATCAGTAGATTGTTAAGGAAGCTAGCTGCGCCTATCACGCTTAGGTAAAACGCTATACCTAAGCTCCTCATGGAATCAGGGACTTGGTCGTAGAAGTACTCTTGGAGTCCAACGAGCGTGAACGCATCCGCAATGCCAATGACAATGAACTGAGGAGCTAGCCATATCACACTCAAGGTTTTGTTGTTTTCGGTACGGTCCAATCGTTGTTTCTCAACTAGAGCTGCAATGACCATGGTGATGATGGAGAAAACCATACCGGTCCCGATTCTCTGGAGAATGTTGATGCCTCTTTGGTTCCGTGTGATGCGTCTTAGCAAGGGAAGTAGAAGTTTATCGTAGAGGGTGATCGAGATGATCAGAGCAAGAGCGGTGAGAGAGAACATGGAAGCTGGAGGAACTGTGAAGCTGCTGTTACCGGCGATGTGTCTGTCCATGATGATTGCTTGTTTAATGAAGAAGGTCGTGGTTTGTGCTGCACAGATTCCAAAGGCTAACGTGGAGAGCCATATGGGAATCACGTGGATGATCAGCTTTGCTTCCTCTACTTTAGTCAACGTTACGAGTCTCCATGGACTCTGCTTCTCGAGTGCCAGAGGATTAATCTTGTCTTCTATAATTGCTGCCTTGTCAAGAAACCTGCAAGAAATATCAGTGTATGATGCACAAGAAAATCAGGAAGTTAAAACAAGAAGAAGACATTTTCGAGTTACTCACTTCAGATGCTTTGTGTGGGGGAGAAGCCGGCCATTAGTAAACTCTGCCTTGGAAGCTTCATGAAGCAGAGAAGGATCAGAGGGATAAGGAAGATTTCTTTTGGAAATGGCGGCAACAAAGACCTGTAACATTGGAGTCAAAGGACTACCCAAAGGTGTCCGGTAACGATAGAATGGTTTTCCGACGAGGAAGATGACAAGAGAAATAGCCATAACTATGGTGAGTATGATTCCTGCAACACCCCAACCAACACGATCTTCGATATAGACAACAGCAGTCACGGACGTTAGAATACCAGCACATAGAACGACATTCCACCAGTTAAAATAAGACATCTTCATATTTCTTTCTTCAACATGATCATCGTCGAACTGGTCAGCACCAAAGCTCTCAAGGGATGGCTTATGACCTCCAGTCCCTATGGAGATCAAGTATATGGCAATGAAGAAGGCTACTTCGTGTGCTTTCCTAGGTTCAACGCACACTTCTTCGTGACAAGGTTTCAAGCCCGGTATGAACCAGGACATTGTTAAAAGGACCAAACCCTGTTTTTCAAAAGAAACAAGAGAAAATAGTTTTTAACATTGTTTATGGAATCTTTAGATGTAAATTGGATTAAAGGTACCAAGTTAAGAACATATATTACCATAAGGTAAATGGTGGTTGCAACCAAGACAGTCGCGTAACGTCCAAGATAGGCGTCTGCTACAAAGCCTCCAAGAAGAGGCATCAAAGTAGTGACACCTGCCCAGTAGTTCACATTTCTTATAGCCAACTTGAGATCTTGGTGGAGAATCGTTGTTAGGTAGACCACCAGGTTCGTAGCTAACCCGAAGTAACTCAACCTCTCGCTGAACTCAATTGCTACGCAGAGAAGGTGGAACAAAAGGACTTTAACAATGATTTTGGGCTACTATAGCATATGCCCACAGTGTTACAATTATGTGGTGTAAAGTTTCAGTAAAAAAATCTCAATGAAAGTTTTTGTTACCGATGATGAAGAGTGCAGCTTTCCAAGCGCCAGTTCGAGCCCGAAGAGGAACACGTCCTCTGCTGTCGAGAGAAGAATCAAGAACCCATTTCTGTTGATCATCGTACGAATCTTGAAGTTCTGCATCAATCTTCTTATGCTCCATCTAGAATAAACTACACGAGAGAGTTGATTCTTGAGGAGTGTCTGTGGGTGTGAAGTGATCTGTTTAAATGAGAAGAATTCTTGGTCCTTTTTATAAATGCTTAAGCTCTCTGTGTTGACTCATTAACCTCCACAGTGTCTTCTAGATTCTGTGCCCACATTGTTTTGTTTTCAGCCTCAAATAGTTCTCATTTTCTATTTTGTTTCACACTCACGTTGAGGATGATGATGAGTTAACAGAAATGAATAAAAACTACCCAAATTCGATTCCTCTTTTTAACATTAATTATTGAAAACTCTTGATATTATTCCTCACGATCACCTTTCCAAGCCAATACTACCATTTTCTTTACTCTAACCCCACTACGATCTGAGATGCTTTAGTTTAATACTAAAAAGCAATCAAATACGAATACTTAGTCCAATAAGTTCAATGGTTCCTTTATTCACTTGACTCTCTAGGTATCTTCTTTGTAGGGAAGTAGATCTCACCTCTCTTAGGAAATTTTACCATATACTTTAGTACCCAGTTCCTACGCCTTATCATCATATTCATTCCTAAAAATCTAATGATCACAAAACATTCAGCAGCAACATATCACAATGTCAAGCTAAGAAAATTTAAATTTAATATCTTAACCCCTACCTTAAACAAAGTCTACATGATCATTTTACTCTATTACCACAATCACTCATGTAGAAAAAAAGATTCACAGCTAAGCAATAATCATATGAAACAAAATACAAAAGCTTGAAGCTCTGTACTATACTTAATGCTATAAACACCAGTGCATAACATGTTACTAGACAATCCTCCTCTATCATACAGTGATAATGAATGGCTTTTCTAGAGAAGATAATCCTTAGGTTATGAGACCAATGAATGATTAGATTGTGATCGACCATGGGAAAGTTGTCACGGTTTAGTGGATTTGCAAATGCTAACCAAAAACACATCTTCCAAATCTTCTTATATTATACGCTCCAATAGCATTTAAACAATCATTTTTTTTAATTATTAAGAGTCAACTCCTATCCTATATTAAATCGAAATTTGTGGCTAAGGCTGAGGAAAGTGAAAAAACCCTTTTCCATAGTGCTGTAACCACTATTGACTGAATCATCTACAAGCAGTACCAACCATAAAATATGACTATACATGTAAAAGGTCGGCATCGTAGAGCAAATCAGTCTTGCGTATTGCCACACCAAAACCTCATTTTCAAATGAATGGTCTTTATTCTTCATGTTTTCTTCACCACCTTAGCAATAAAACATGTTTTGTCTATGGAAGTAGGACCTCCACTATAGTGAGGTTACTTTTGAAAGGAAAAACAGCAAAATTTGGCTAAGAGTTCCCCTTTAAAGAGCAAGTTTTCATATTATGTGGCTATGTGCTCATCATAGTGCACGCTTCTAGGGACGACTTCAGCAAGATATACTCTTAAGAATCGACCACCCTTAAGAGTACGAAAGAAATCGCAGAAGAATGTAAAGCACATGTATCGCATGCTGATTGATTACTTGCCAAAAGTCCTAAAATTTTCTCTTTTTGATTTCTTTTATAAATGACACTTTGAGAAGCAAAGAAAGCTAGAATGACTACTTTCACATGGTTCTCATGGTAACAAAGATAACGAAATTACTTTCAAACGACTTAATATTTGATGGAAAGTACTAACCTCCACTAAGCATTCTTCTAATTCACTTGCTTTGCTCCACATAAAAAGTTGTAATACGTACAGTCTCCCATTGTTGTGCACTGCTAAAACAGAAGAAGTGGGTCATAACTCATAAGAGACACATGCCAACACAAATGGCTGTAAATAATATGAACCACCATGCAAATGGTTGATGAGTCAGCGGATGTTACTGTAGAGTATCTGAAGGAATAGTAACAATAGCTTATCTTGACATGGAGTTCAACTTCCTAACAATTGATTCTGCTATAAACGTATGACACAAAGCAGTGGCAAGATAGCGAGTTGTGGATCATGCCATCATCAAAGACAAACTTTTTGACAACCAATAGACTAAACCCATAGTGCAACTGTGCAAATGGAAAGAAAACGAATAGCTCAAAGATGTATTCAAGTACCTTGTATGAGCATTGTTAAGGTCTCCTAGATAACCCAAGTCAAATCCATGATGCTCCAAAATAAATTCCAACCGATAAGTACTAGTTGGAGAACTGTGTTTTCATCCCATTTATGGGTAATGCCCGAATAACATGTGACCACTGACATGAATTCCATTAGCTCACATGCTTTAAAAAAAAAAAAATCATTTCCTACTAGACTTATTGAACTGCTACAAGAAACTGTGGCAACTTTACCAATGGTAAAGCAATCCATTTGCCACTTAGCTAATCCAAAGGCTTCTAACAAGAGCGACACTGCATTTATCAGTGACAGTATATTCAATGACATAAGATTTTTTTGAAAACAGCACCCGCGAGAACCTCCCCTGCCAAACCGGCAAACCCTCAACTTCACTTGATTCTCTTGAAATGAGACTCCGTCTAGATAAACTCAGCATTCACCAACCTAGCCTTATTCAGTTTCATCTTTAAAATCTCCTTTGATTTCCATTGGGCTTTGATACAGGCTTTGGGTGGATTTATATATCTAATACGTCCACGATAGTAGATGATCACAAACTTCTTCCAACTTCCAAACCCAGACACATCACAAACATATTGGCAGGGATTTGATGCAGTTGGAACACTACACTTACATCGCAAGATGCTGTCAAAAAGTTTTGATGAACCATAACCTCTGCGATAACAAAGCGACAAAGACGTAAAGAAGCAATTCTCATCTTGAGGAAAACCTAAAGTATCCAAAACATCTCTTTCTCAAACCAATGTCAAGATGGTGCATTACAAAAAATAAAGGAGAAAGGTAACCTTAGGTTGTATGGTGTTAAACATCATTTCCCAAGTGACTTTCCAGGAGTCCAAGCCAATCAGAGCAGCAGATAAAGAATTCAAATCACATCAAGGGACTGAACTTTAGGTATCGCACGGCGATATAGTCAACTATATCTTATGACAAGTTATTCCAAGATAACTCACTACCCCCAAACAATAGTCTAGAAACGAGAATGAGATGATGAAATCAAATTATGGACGATGTGGTAGTCGAAACCAATTTTCACTGTGATTTAGATTTGCTGCGTCAGTTATGATCACTTCAATTGAGAAAGACCTCTTTCAATATCTATACGAGGAAAGAAAAGAGACAACTTTATCATTCACACAATAACAGCTCTTCTTTAGATAAGAAACTTTTTAAGAATCAAAACCATCCTCAAGAGTACAGCATCAAAATTCAAATCTTCCTAGTAATAGCCAAATATAAATGCTAAGAACATTCCCCTCCGTTAAGCAACAAAGACCGCATCTTCACCAAACATAGAGGTCATGAAAGATGAAAGGAAACTAAAACTGAAAGTAACAAGAGAAAGACAAGTATATAATACTTAAAACTGAATGGCTTTAACTCTGATTAGCATAAGCACGAGATATAAGCTGTTACATAGTTACATACACGTTTATGTTCAGAGACATCAATTCGATTTATAAACAAAAACACAGCAAAGAAAGCTACTTTCTTTTACCTCAACTTCCAATTTCGTATCTCCCATCGTTCTGCAAAGTCATTTCGTATACCTGAGAATGAGATGTTCCCTTTCTTGATTTGCCACCATTAACACGATTCTCCATCCTCTTACCTTCTTCCTTTCTCGCTACTCCATTGATCCCGACTCTCTTCCTCACTCTACGACCACGATGCGTCCCACTAATCCTCCCATCGCCGCTGATTTCATCGAATTTCACCCCAATTTCTTCGCGATTCGCCGGATTCTCTTCTCCATCTGAACCAACGGAGCTTGATAATCTCCGATAAGGCTTCACACTGTGAACCACACCTTTGGGGAAAAACCTAGCGGAAGGCAAATCATCGACGGCCTCGAAAAGCTGCGGACCATCCCGATCGGTCCAGAGATCGAACCCGCCGGGTTTCTGAAACCGATCCGCGAGGACCTTGACTTGCTCATCGGCACATACGGAGAATAGATTCGGCGGTTTTTGAACCGGCTCCCATGGCCGCTCAAGCTCGGCCACCGCCGCCTTGAGCTCGGCGCGTTTTCGCATCTCGTAAATCTGGCGTTCACGGGATAGACGCGCTTTGAGGAGCTGTTTCTGCTTCTTCGCTTGCATCCTCTTCCACTGCCACTTGGATACACCGCCGGGAAACGTCCTCGGACCGCCGCCCATACGGATTACCGTCGATTTCCGCGGCTGCTGTGGAGTGGGTTTGAGAGAGAGGAGAGATAGCTTTGAGTGCAGTGAATTGGGGTCCGGCGAAGAAAGCGACGACGAAAACGACAACGGTTTGCTCCACGAGAGCTGAAATCCCATCATCGCAGCCATTTGGTATCCAGCAAATAGCTCGAGGAAGTCGAGAAACTACTTTATCTCTCTGTTCCACGATTTTTTTTTTAACAGACTTCTTATTGGGTGTTGATGACTAATTAATATCAGAGTCAACTTGAGCAAAAAAAAATTTAATAAATTTTTCGATCTTTTAACCAAAGAAAGCAGAATCTGATGTCAAGTGAAGAAAATTCGGGACTCTATATTGTGTGAAGAACTTCATATTTTGTTGATTTTGAGGCACAACTACGATCTTTGAGGAGAAAACGTAAACCGATCTTTAAGAAGACATGAATTGAATCTGTATATTCGTTCAAGTTATTTTCACAAGAGGAATAAAAACGAAAACCAAAGAACAAAAGGGCCATTACTTCACTCACCAAACTCACAAAACATCAAACCAAACAAAATCAAACGGTTTGATTCATGTTGGGTTTCCGATTCTTACCCGTCGACCCGACCCGCATTACGAAACGCACGGCCACGGAAAACGGCGAACCCAAAAGCATGCCCCAAAATGGCGGCGATGAAAACGCCGCCATTGAACGAAACAACGGCAAGAATCACGAGGTAGCTGAAGCCGGACTTGACGGCATACATAGCTATACGAAACGCCACCTTTGCAAACTTATCAGCATCGGGTTTGATAGAGGAAGCTGCGTCAGAGCACCGAGCTAGCCACTCAGCTAAGAACGCCAAAAAGAAGACGAAGATAAGTGCGAGAGCATACATCCAACGGCTAGAATCAGGCCATCCCGGGAAAAGCACTTCGCAATCGTAACTCCAATAGAAAGTTGGGTGTAGCAGTGATGGTCTGTGTGGCGTCTGCGTTTGCGTTTGCGTTTGCGTTGTTGTGGTAGTGTTCCATGCCTCTACTACGGTGAAATTTTCACTAGACAACATCTCCTTTAATTTGGGTGAAACGAAAATTGGGAGGTCGTTGTCGTAGTCGTAGTGAAAATATGGGGACTCTCTAGCCTCTAGTCTCTTCTATAAAAAAGTGTTTCTTCTTGAGGGGAAAAGACTGGTCCTACAAATTATATGCCATGTTCATGTTATGAAGCAAACTTAAGATTTGCTTGTCGGATTTTTCTTTCAAAAAGCTACACCATGTCCATCACTAAAGCAGTTGGCCGTATAGTTTGTTATCCAATTTCATTTTTCCTAGCTTTACAGACAAACACATTAACATAATCATATATTGTAAGCAAAGTAGCTAGCTATAACTATGGGTCAAGTATCTCTTTTTTTTGTCTACGTAAATTATTGCTTCTGTTGAAGATTTTTCTTATACGTAGATAAATTTTAGTAGTTTTACAGTAAGAATAACGTTTATCACAAGCCATTACAAAAACAAATAAACTCTTGAGAATACAAAAACAAATATAAATTCTTGTAAATACAAATCATAGTGAAATAGTCAATTAGTCATTGAAGAAAATTTATGATCTATAACTAAAATGTAAATGAGTCTTGTTTGTTTGTTTTGTTCTTAAAAACAAAATTGTTTGTTTGTTCTTTACCATGAAAAAGTAATCTTGTATTTTGAAATGGTATTCGAGCAAGTTCATACATGGTTTTTTTTTTCCTTCTTGTTCCTGTATTTTCTTCATTTTGAATAAAGGGAGACGGAAGCATGTTAAACGATATCTTTGCTAACTTTTACTTTATTTAATTAATAAAAATAAAAGTGAAGTAAAAAAGAACAACAGATATGTTTGTGTTTAATTACCTCTTTTATTACGATAGACCTACAATTCCTAAAGAATCTCAAAATCCTCAAGCACAGAAGCACCAGATACTGATTGTTTTGTATATTTTGCAGACTTAAAAACTTTATCGCTCCAGCCAATTTTTTACTTAAAAAACTTTTCTCTAGGCTCTTGTAGAACTACATTGAATAATGAAACGATAAAAGAGGAGATGAATTATAATAGTGGTTTAGCAAGTATTAGATGGCCAAATCTTAGATTAAATTATTTCAATATAGATATGTTGGACCAAATAGACGTAAATTCGGCAAAGCTAATAAGCTCCTCCATATTATAGGCCTAACTGTTGCATCCAACTGTTGAAAGAAGGATCTCTATGGTAGTTCACTATCCAACATTTCATCCTCTACACTTTGTTTATATACTGTATATGGGTAGCCAACGAAATCACCATTCTAGCTCAACTAAATAGACTTTACGCTTTGTAATGAGTGGATTATCTCTTTGAAAACTAAACTTTTTTTTTATACATTTCAAATTCCACTTGATTGATATAAAGCGTTTATATTTGAACGGTTTTGAATCTAGATCTAATGTCAAGGCACCTACCAAAAAAAAAAGATAAAGATAAATGATCAGTTAGAATTAAGTGCCTAGCTTTCTAAATTTTTTTTACAGTAGGCGGAAACAGTGCTTCAAGGATTAAAAAAGACACACAAGACAATAGATCGCAAAATAACCCACAAGACAATACCAACCTTAGCCGGACCACATTCTCCTGTTGGCTTTAAGATGAAATCATCACCTCATGCGGCACCACCTTTGGACCACCCAAATTTGAAACGACATCCAATAAATAGATTTCATCACGACAAGATCCCGAAATATCAAATTAAAAAAAAAAAGTAAGAGGAATGAGATAGATTTTCTTACCAAATTTAGAAACCTAGAGATAAGTGCTTCACTTACATCATCTTAAATTCTTCATACTTAGTCGTACTTACAAATTTTATTACACCACCGACTCTTCGTTATGACTTATGGAGTATAAATGTATAATCAATCACCTTGGTTATTAATCAATCACTTTAGCCTCTCTTTCTTTCGCCAAAAAGACACCACTTCTTACCGATATTTTGGTAAGTAGCGGAAAATTGGATATTTAACCGAATGATTAAGTGCATAAACCGATGATGAATATCCAAAGAGAGTGTGACACGTGTGGAATAAATCATTAAAGAAGCAGTAAAGGGAAGTAACTGAAACTTAAGAGAGTGGAATCCGTTTGGACTTCAGTGGCGGGTTTAAGTTCCTTTGCTTTGATCCGAATTCTGTCTGTAACAAATCTTTATTCGTCTCCCTTCCTCATCTGCCTTTTGATTTCGCGCCACCACACACACACACACTCTCTCTCTCTCTCTCTCTCTCTCTCTCTCTCTCTCTCTCTCTCTCTTTCTCTGTTATCTTTTTCCTCTCTCAACTTTCTCACTGAATTTTCTCCGATCCGCCTGAGTTTTTCTTGGTAAGTGGTCCCTAATTTCCACTTTTCCTCTTCCATCTCTCTCTCTCTGCTTTGGTTGGAGTGAGAAAAGAAAAGGGAAAGTGTGAGCTTATTTTGCTTTCTCTTTCTGAATTTCACACTTTGATGATCGATTGGTAGCAAAAGTTTCTGATTCTTCCAGGGTTTTAGCTAGATCTGAGATTTCTTAACCTTCCTTTGAATAATTCTTTCCGTGTGAGTGATCTCTAACAACTATTCAGAATCGTTTGTGATCTAACTACTGATTTCCTTCCAAATCCCAAATTTCTTAGCTTTGCTACAGAATTTGAGTAAAAAGTATCAAAGTGTGTTCATCCATTTTCAACTCAACTTAGTGTTTATGGGTCGAATCTGAATGTTGTCACTCCATTGAATTCTCCAGTTATATATACATATATGTTCTTTTACCCGTATATTATATCTTTACTGTTGCAGAGTGTTCTTAGTCTAAAGGTGGATGAGGATTCTAAGATTTGGCAATTAGTCCTCCTGAAAGCAATATAGAGCCTCTGGTTTGAGGTTGCAGTTAATTATACCAATATGGTGAGGCAACAAAGAGCCTCCAAGGTTCATGAGGACAGATATCCCTCGTGTCATTCCCGTGGAACCTCGGAGCATAGAGGCAAGGATGAGCTGGTGAAGCGGGATATGTTGGATCCGCCAACATATCTCCGAAGAACTGGAGATGTCCGTGGAAAGGCGCTGAGGTTTGGGGTTTTGGACTGGAAACAGTTTGAAAACTGGAAGGATACTAATGCAGAGGGAACCAAAGGAGCGTGTTGTAGTTATGCTTCTTCATACACTGGTTCAGAAGCCGCAAGTTCGTTGGAACTAGATTTATCAACCGGTGTTGTCAAAAGATTGGAGCTAGATTCGAAGCCCCAAGCAGAAACTTTGAACTCCTCACTTAGATCACAAGAGTGTTTAGTAATGAGAATGGAAGAAAAGGGAAAACTAAATCACCAACCTCTGAGTAGGAAGCAGAAAGAAGAACATCATGCATCTCAGAAGAAGAATCTGGTGGAGAAAGAAGAAGGTAATGCCTCTGAGCTTAGCTCGTGTATCTCTCCCCCATGTCCGCTAATTGTCAGCCGTCAGACAAATCTAGGGTCAGAGACAAGTTCCAAGCTTTTATCTGAGGCATATAGAACAGGTGAATGTCAAGATGGAAGACATGATGTCCAAGACGAATGTTCAAGTCCGGTTAACGTGGTGGAAAGAAACCAGAATCTCCCCACTGTGACATCCAAAAAGGGAAGACATGCTTCTCCTAACCGGCGGTTTAGCTTCAGTTTAAGTCAGATGGGTAGAAGTTTCAGTTCCAAAGAAAGTTCAAGTTCAACGTCTGTTCCTGCATTGTCGAGCGCATCTCATGCTTCAGCTAAATCAGGTCCCTTGACATTCAACGACTCAGTTTACACCAATCACTCGACCAGAACAAAGCCGGGTGGTCACAGCAGAACTAGATCAGGTCCTATATTGAAACCAAAGACCGAGAAGAATGTCTCATTACAAATGGCTTCAAAGACTTCCAACCCAACAAGACAACCAACCGTGGAGAAGAAGCAGTGCAGCTCAAGAGCCCACGCTCTTCTGCAATTTACTATGAGAAAAGGTATCAATTTGTTTCAGTTCGTGGTCGACAACAACAGCAACAACGTTCTTGCTGCCACCATGAAGAGTTCAGATTCTTCTATACGGTCTTACACATTGTATTCCGTCAACGAAGTCAAGAACAAGAGTGGAAACTGGTTAGGCCGCCACAGGAATGAAGAGAAAAACCATCCCTTTGCACATACAATCATCGGTCAAATGAAGACTGTCAATTCTCTCACCTCAGATTTAGCAACCTTCAAATCAGAATCTGTTTTGTTCGGTGTTGAGACCAATGACGAGCTTGCAGCAATTATTCAGACGAGAAACAAGATTCAGAGGCACAGCACAACTACCATCATACTCCCGAGTGGAGTTCACACACTGCTTAAAGACGGTAATGCCCCTTCGCCGTTGATTGAGCGGTGGAAATCCGGTGGAGTCTGCGACTGCGGTGGCTGGGACATCGGTTGCAAGCTCCGTGTCCTCTCTGATGATCACATAAAGTCACAATCTTTCTTGAGCTTTCAATTGTTTGATGATCAGGTAACTCACTCTGTTTCACTGCTCTCAAGTCTGAATCTTTACTAAACACTTAAAACATTCTCGCAGGAAAGAGACAAACCAGCATTCAAAATGGTGACACACGACAATGAACTCCACTCAGTTGAGTTCGGGGCATCGATCTCTCCCTTGGAAGCGTTCTTCATTTCGCTAGCGCTAAGCAGTCATCAGAACTGGTGTGAGGAGGAGGAAGAAGCAGTTTTGATCGGAGATGGTCTGTTGAAGAGAGAAACATCGACGAAATACGCATCAAACCCACCGGTTTCTCCAATCGGTCGGGTCTAAAGGCGTTAATTTTGGCAGAGACGTTTCAGTGAGTGTAAAGAGAAGATCGAGCAAAGGGCTGAGCTGGCTGGGCTTAGACTGTGTTGGGTTGGGCTTTAATATAACTGTAATTAAGATCTTTTTTTATTTTGCCATCCTGTAATTATACGTATGGTATAATTTTAGAATTTGCTGAATGTACAAAATAGTGAAGTGCATTTCTGAAATAATATAGGGTTAGGATTTTGCTGAAAAGTTTTCATTACGCAAATTTATACTTTTTTTTGCATTTTATATTCCAAAAAGTATTATATTGTATTAACATCAACTAATAAAACAGTTGATGGTAAATATATATCTATATATATATATATATATTTTAAAGATGTTGAGGAAAGGCAAGTGAGCATGTGAGGATAAAAACCGTATTTGACGGACATGCTTCGCTGCTTTACCCTACCCACATGCTCCTCCAAATCATATCCCACTACGTCTAGTGTTGATTCTGAATTTTAATATGTTAACCTTATATTAGGGTTTTGCCAAAAAAAAAATATGTTAATGTAGCTTTATATTAAGGTGCAAATTGGCCACTACTAGCTCTAATCCCCCGACATCACCTTTGAAATTTAAAAATAAAGCGTCAATAACGGTTGGTGGGTTCATCTCGTGACCATTGACTACTTTTTGGTTTCATTGAGAAAAATCTCTTTTCTGAGAGAATTTTGAAAATTCTAATATTGAGCCATAGAACTTGTTTCCTATTTCGGATATACTCGGCTTAGAGAACTTTGGCCGTAACTTGATCTTTACTTGTGGATTTATCTAGTTAACTAGATGTTGTTTCGTGTTATGTACGTGAGAAATATGGTTTTTTCTTTTTTTTGAAGGATCATCCTCCATACATGATACATGTATGCGTGGAAAAAAAATCAAGAAAGTTTTTCATTGTGATGATCAGAAATATCAGTCAATAATCGTTACCAGGTTTTTACTTACAGAGAATAGCAAATAGAGGGCGAAGAAAAATTATGGCAACCGAATAAAGACCAAAGTTGTGTCTTTTGGACCCAAAAATGACCAAAATGTTACGACCAATCTCCCCCCCCCCCCCCAAAAAAAAATATTTGGACCAACAATTTTTTTGGGATGTTTAATAGATTTATGACTTTTCAAAAAATATTTGGACAAACAATTATCTCCTAAGGAGACTTTTATGACTTTTCTAAAAAAAAAAGTTTACATTAGTCTTTGTAGCCAGTCTTTTTCCCTCTAACCCAAAAATAATTCCTTAAATATTTTTATACGGTTCATATTTTCCTTAAGTATTTCTATTTCTAAGTACTTAGTTTTTTTCTTTTGTGCAACTTCTAAAAGTACTTAGTTTATAATAATTAAAATTTAAAACAAAGAGGAAAAAAAACGTTCAGAAATGCAAGTACCTGTTTTGAATTTAATAACTTAGATTCAACATAAGAAAGGGAAAGATGAAACGTATTGTTGATATATATCTTCTAGATTTCCCAGTTTATTAAGAAATTTCTTTATATACTATTTAGTTAAGATTAATACTCCAATCTGTCGTTAAAAATTTGACAATTGTTGTAGATCAATTAAGCTTTCATCAATAGTTAAATTTATAGCCAACACGAATAAATCATAACTATTTACAACCAAATTTTGACAGAAACATTTTGCAGTTACTATTCCTACCAATCACTCTCTAAATTTGGTCTCAAATGAAAAGCTTATAACAGCTATCAAACTGATAAATAAATACTAATTTATTCCTAAGTTCTTCTCGGTGTTGAATTTTATTAATTTATTTTTTCAATTCAACCGTTTCTCCGTGTTGAACTCGCCTTTTTAATCTTAGGGCTCCGTTTCTCAGATTCTGCTAAAGGAAATCTCTTTTCTTCTACTTACAAAGTTTTAATCTTCTTTAGACTTTCGTCTTCGATCTCTCTGTTACTTTTTTTTTTTTTTTAATTCTTTTCGTTGCGTCTCTCGCTCTCATTTCTTCTTCTCAGATCTTGGATTGACCCGTTTCGATCGTTGACCCCGAATTTGGGTTCGGTTAAAAACCCGACCTGTTTCCGGTGAGAAGCTCGGGACTGAGAAAAAAGGTTCAATTTTTGTTTGAGTGTTTGGTTTCGGGGTATGATGGTGACCCAATTTGCTGGGTTCTGAAGTAGTATGGAACTGATTGTCACACGAAAAGAGGAAGATCAACAAACAAGAATAAGATGACGCTTTACATTCGTCGTGAATCTTCCAAGGTTCGTCGCGTTTCTCCTAATTCAGCTACTAGGTTTCTCAAATTTTTGGCTGATTCCTTACTTTCTGTAATTTTTTTTTAATAGCTATGGAAGAGATTTTGCTCTGAGATAACGACGGAGATTGGACTTCTCGCCGAGAACTGGAAATACCTTCTGGCTGGTCTTATCTGTCAGGTTCCCATCTTCAAATTCTCATTTTCCAATTTAACTGAGAGCTTTTGGTATTTGAGATTCAATCTCTTTTAACTCCCGATTTAAAAATTTTGAGCTTTTGGTGTTGTCGTTTTAAATGATTTATCGTCAGATTCAGATTAAAAATTCTACTTGGATCGTTACTTCTTATGCCGAGTGTTATTCATGACTCTTGTTTCTTTTTATTGAAGTCTGAGAATGGTTTTGTTAAACATGGTAACTTTTGAGAGAAAGCTTGTGCTTTTGGCTAAACAATTAAAACTCCCACCTTTTTTTTCTTTCTAACAGAAAAAGTGTTCGTACTTCGTAGGATTGTTTTCTCAACAAAAGAGATGTCTTTGTGTGTTAGTTCTTTTTGGTTACAACAATGTAGATTTTCGCCTCTTGGGTGTGTGTTGTTTTGACACTGTGTGAATGTATCTGTTATGTGCAGTACATTCATGGTTTAGCTGCTAAAGGGGTTCATTATATTCATCGCCCAGGACCAACTCTCCAGGATCTTGGCTTCTTTCTTCTTCCGGTTTGTCTCATTCATTTCAGCTATTTTCTCAGTTCGGAGCATACTCTTCCTCGGATCAGAATAGATGTCTTATAGCTTTGGTTTTCCATTGTATAGGAGCTTGGTCAAGAGAGAAGCTACATAAGTGAAACCGTGTTCACTAGTGTCTTTGTTTCGTTTTTCCTGGTGAGTCTTTTGACCTTGATAGTGTCCTCATTATGTACGGTTTGTTTCTCTTGCTTATAATGTGTTCTTAGTAATAGCTGAGATCTTACTTTGGCAGAGCTTTTTGTTGAGCAGCCATGACATAATTATATTTTGATATTGATACTCCTTTGAACCTTTGTTGCAGTGGACTTTCCATCCATTCATCCTGAAAAGCAAAAAGATATACACCGTGTTGATATGGTGCAGAGTTCTAGCATTCTTAGTTGTAAGTGCCCTGCCTTACTTATTACTATAATTTAAGTTTGCTGAGTTGTCTTGTTAATCCTGAAGTTTGTCTGATGCTTTTGTTTTCAGGCCTGTCAGTTTCTCCGTGTTATAACTTTCTATTCGACTCAGCTTCCTGGCCCAAACTATCACTGTCGCGAGGTAAAGCAACTGAGATCCTTACACAAGCTCTCATGTTGTATCTGATCTGTTAAGCTTAATTTTGCCCACTTTTACGACAGGGCTCTAAAGTTTCCAGGTTGCCATGGCCCAAAAGCGCTCTTGAGGTGCTGGAGATCAACCGTGAGTCTACAAATTTCTTTCTTTCCCATTCAGACGCATTTTCTTTGTTTGCTTCTGTTCTCATGTGATGTCTGTGATCTCATCAGCTCATGGGGTGATGTACGGATGTGGAGATCTGATTTTCTCATCGCATATGATATTCACGCTAGTCTTTGTCCTCACTTACCAGAAATACGGCACTAAAAGGTTAAAAAAAACTTCATAAACTCTTTAGGCAATACCACTTTGAAAATGACATCTCTGCATCACTCTTCTTTTCATACTAAATGTCTCAGGTTCATAAAGCTGTTTGGGTGGCTCATTGCTTTCGTGCAGAGCCTTTTGATCATTGCCTCCCGTAAACATTACAGTGTCGATGTTGTTGTTGCGTGGTATGCTTTACTATCACGCAAAAGTTTTTTACTTCAACAAAATTCCTCTGAGTAGAGAGATATATATTGACTTGTTGTTTTGATTCTTTCCCTGTTTAGGTATACTGTGAATCTGGTGGTGTTCTGTTTAGACAAGAAATTACCAGGTTTGATCTCAGAAAACCCTTATGAAACACTTTTGTTTTGTCTAATTTTTGCAGAGACTTGGTTCTCACATCTTTTTTTAAATGTCTATACAAAACAGAATTACCAGATCGGACAACAGTGTTACTCCCGGTAATCTCGAAAGAGAGCCACAAGCTGTTGAATGGGAACGGTGTTGATCCTGCAGATTGGGTAAGCATCTGAATGTGTTTTCTTCTCCTTCTCAGCCTGAACCAATTTTTATTATTTGACCTTATCTTATTCTCTTTCTCTGTGTCCTGTTTTAGAGGCCAAGGGCTCAGGTGAATGGGAAGATAGACAGCAACGGAGTTCACACTGATAACTCAATGAATGGCGCATGAAAGTGGTACTGGACTTGGAGCAATCTAATCTATTTATGAAAACAGCAAAACCAATGGCGTCATGAAGACTTGTGTGGTCTTTTCCGTTTCCATGATTTCTCGAATCTGGACTTAAATTCTGTAAGTGGGGTAAATTTTTGTTCATGGGCTATTGTTCCAGAGAAAAAAAGGAACAGTCAGAGAGAAGAGAAGGGGGGCTAAAATATGTACATTTTCCCAGTTCCTTATATTCCAAAGTGAATCATATTATTGTTTAATCACGTTGTTTTTCTTTTTATGTCAAATTTTGTTTGTTACTAGTGTTTGATCTTTGAGACGATTTTATGCGTATGCTGTTTCCCTCAAAAACAAAAACAAGAAAATTGGTTGCAAGAGCATATGTGTTTTTTGTTTCTTTAAATTATTATGTACAATGAATCAATAATTCATCTGATGTATCTGGTAAAATTTGTTGTTTGATTGCAAAGAGCAATATATATATAGAGAGAGAGAGAGTATTGGGTTCATGAAGAAGATGAAACATGGAAATGGAAGAGCCATGATATGAAGAAGCCAAAGACCATACAAGCTAACACTATATTCACCATTCTCTGCGGCTGCCACCTGTTCTCTATCGCCGTTGTTGCTCCTCCGCCTCTTACCGCCGCCGTTTCCTCACCGTTTCTCACGTCTCTCTCCTCCACCGTTAACATTACCATTTCGTTCGCACCGGCCACGTTTCGGGCTACCGATTGGCAAATCTCGCAGATTCTGTTTCAATCAAAAAAAATATGTCAATCTTGCTATCGTGTTTAACAATCTCGTGTTTAAAATTTTTTAGTCGACAACATGTGCATATAATAAATATCCATTAAAAAGAACATTACGTCCTTAATTTGGCTCATGACTAAAAGTAAAAATGGTGAAAAATATGGGTTCAAACTCTTGATTTCAATTTTTATTTCTTGAAGAACTAGTCATTAAAGAAGAAGTCAATAGAGAGTTTCACAAAAAAAAAAAAATTAAAGAAATCAATAAAAGTAGTTCAAGATCAATAAACCCGTAATTCACTGCAGACAAGTAATTAAGAACTCAATAAAAACCTAAGTATCCTAACAAGACTCTTGATCACGCAACCTAAAAACTACATAACTGGAAGATTCAAGATTATTTTTTCTTAAAAGTAATTAAGAACTCAATAAAAATAAAACCACTTAAACCAGAAACGAAATAGATAAAGAGAGAGAAGAAAAAAGTAGTTTACTTAACTTGTCGCCTTTGATCTTGAACCAAGTTTCAGCACATTGTCTATGAGCAACAGACAAATCGTCCTTACACGAACACCCTAACTCAATCGCACCTCCACCGCTCGTTTCCACTCCCATATGACATATCCGGCAGTCTTTCTCCGGCGGCGCCGTCGCATCATCATCATCATCATCAATCTCCGACGCACTCATCACCGACGACACTTTCCTCGACTCTCCTCCTTCGTATTCGTACGATCCTCCATTCGTCGAGTCGAAGTAAGAGTAGCATGACGTCACATCTTCTCCGTCTGAGTAATATACGCTGACGTCACTCCCGCCGAACGACCGCCGGTGGTGATATCCGTACGCCGCTCCTTGTTCTAAATCGACCTCTGTCATTTACTAATTCGAAGATTTTTTGTTTTGTTTTGTTTTGGTTGATGCCACTGTAATAGAATATGAAGGGATTTTAAGGAAATGGGTTTTGGTGGATTTGGTGATTCTTGTTAACGACTAAAGAAATTAAAAATAGTAACTTTGAGTTACGAAATTATAGGAGTGAGTAGTGGTGGAGCAGGAACAAGCTTGAGAGAACAGAGTGAAAGTGAAACTATACTATTAAAGAAGAAGAAGATATTGTTCGGGATCAAGAATATATTAATAATTAAAAAAAGAATTGTGACAGGTTAAAGAGAGAAAATAAAAGGGAACAAGTTTCTATCTGTGCTTGTGTACCAAATTAAGGGATTTTTAGTTCAGAGTAGAGATTCTGTTCGTTCGATGGCTACAACAACGTCTAAGCGACTGCGATATTAGACTTTCAATAACGTATCCAACGGCTCATATTGTGCGATCGCTGGATTATCTGAATTTGTTGTTTACTCTACTCTATAAAAGTGAATTTTCATGGTTTGTATAGTGAAAAAGCCGATTCGCTCCTTCATTGTTGTTGAGAAACAAGCATAAATAGAAATAAATAGGGGTAGTTATGTCAAAATAACATTTCCAGTTTTGGATTTTACTTTTGACCAATTCCCGCCTCCGACCAATTTAATTACGGCCCGGATTTGTTTTATCTTTGTACAATGGTAAAAACTACGGTTAAAAATTGGGTATGTACTCTCGGTTTTGAGTCCTCTTTTATTGGACTTGTTATTAGGAGTCTAAGTTGGATTATGTTTTAATGTTAATAATAAGTACATTAATCTCAACGTCATCTGCATATACAATCCATTTTGTCGTATCATTATTCACAACTGGATTTAACAGAACCTTATGGAAGTCATATAATACCACTTATCTTTTATGAAGTTATCAGTGGAACATCAATAACAACAAAAGCTATACTATTAGGGAATGTTAGTAGCCAAGAAAACAGATTTAAAAATAAGATTAATTTTTTCTTTTATGAGTAAGAAAGATATGCCAAACAAGCAAAGAATATCTATTTATTCTTAAAGCCATACAAATTAAAACTAAAAAGATATAGGAATCTCATTTTCCACGTCAAAATGTTGAACCACCATGGACAGCAAAGGAATAAAAGAACGAAAGAAACAAAAAGAGTAAAAACGAATTTTGACGGGAAAATAATAATAATAAGAAAACAACAGTTTATCAAGTTGGTGGGTCTGGTTCTTATGGACAAGACATACTTATTCTTGTTTCATATGAATCTTATATTTGGAATTTTCTTCTATCAAAATGTCGACATGTATTTTGAATAAGTTCATTATCTTATCTCGGAACTAACTAAAAGTATGAAGTTCTGACGATTTGTTATCCATATTAAGTGTTCTAAAAACACGCTGCTTAAGCGGTATGTAGATGCTAGACGATCGTAAACTATGATGATTATATCTTATGTGTTGAGATTAGGTGTTTTTGTTATCTAACGGAGTTAGACGATTTTAGACAGTTCTAGCCAATTTAAATGGTCTTAGACGATCCTAGATGTTTCTACACCATATCATTAATAAATCATCAGTTTAATATACTTTTAGGTTTGTCTTAGTGTAGCTTTTTTTTGTCAAAGTTTGTCTTAGTGCGATTATTCATTAGTATAAAATATAACTAATTAAATTTATAAGTTGTAACTTCATATATACTGTATATTGTTTAAAATTACCATATATTATTGTTATCCTATAAATAGAATACCTATATCACCTAAAACTGTCTAAGTTCCAATAAACATTTTAGGCTAGATCATCGCTCGTTTAACGTTTGGCGCTAGATATTGTTCACATTTAATATAATAACATTAACACATGCTAGTATCTGAAAATTATGGTGCGCCTAAGAGATGCATTAGATTCGAAATAAAAATAAATAAAATAATATTATATCATGGTTAATGAATTTAGGCAGATAATGAATAGTCTAATTATCGATTGTGGCATATTGTGCCAAGTTGTTAATGTAGTTTTCAAAGAGGTTACTCGAATTATAATATCGTCGATTTTTATCTGTAAAAGAAAATTATTTGCATAGTTATTTGGATTTAATTAGAATATAGAAATTTACGTACAGTTTTGTAAACTAGGACGCATGAAGATTAATTAATTTGGATCACCTCGTACGAGTGCATATATATGTGTATATATATACTGCTCAATTTCTTTTTCCTTTTCTTTTGTTTGACTCTTTATTGTTTGTTCGTTAATTAATGAACATCGAAAGGGACATCACAAGTAGTTGCTCAGTCTCAACAGTTTCATATTCAAAGTGGAAAAGTTGTTTATACAAAACCAGAAACTGGACGTATCTTCTTCTTTTTTTCTGTCATCTATGGATTTTTTTATGGGTCCCCTTTTTTATTGTTAAACAAAATTTGAAAGATACAGTTGGCTGGACATATTCTAAATGTTAAGTTTTGTTCAGCAGAAACATTTGGCTGGTGAGTCGGTGACCCAATTCAGGTGAACATTTTAAAATAATTAAAATAATAATAATCAAAGTAATGTTCATTAGTAATCATGGACAAACTTGGGTTCAAGTTTTCCTTCATTTGTCTCTAATTGTTCAGGAGAAGCATTTATGCTATTTTGTACATTTTCCAGTTTCTTATTCTACATGTAATCATCTTTTGTTGGATAACGTTATCCTACTAGCCACGGCTAGGCCCAAAAAATTGTCCTTTACAAAGCCTACCGATTGGGTTATTTTTGTGGCATGTAAAATTTTTGTGTGTTCAGCTGTTAGTGTCAATATACTCAAACACCAATATGAGCGATACCTATTCACCGTTAATACTTGATCACTTGTATTATAAGCCATAGCATATGAATCTCTTGAAATTAGAAAATTACATCTTTAAATACAAAAAATACATCAAAGGTTTCTGCTTTACACTGAAGCCATGAAGAACGGAGAAGTAGTTGATTCAAATAGTTTTGGTGGTAAACTGAAATTACTTTATATTGGTAACTTACATATAAATAGAACTATTTAGGAGCCAAGCAAAGGAATGAAGGATTGCAGTCCCACAAATTGTGATCTACGTTAATATCTAGAAGCGTGGTTAGGCCAACTCAGAGGATATGCATTTTTCATTTTGGGAGTTTTTTAAGTGTAGATCAAATCAGTCAATTGTGATTTCTTGGCCTGCAGCTCTTGGCTGAAGATAGAAGAAAAATTGAGAGTTAGGACATGATGAGATCTATCTGTTGTATGGTTATATGTCACAGTGAGAACGAGCAATTACCAGGACTTAAGATTCTTAGGCATTTTGTTCTGGACTTTACAGTAGTCATGGAGTCGGATCCTGCATATTGAAACAGTAAGACTATCAGTTAAAACAGCTATAGCATTATATATCTACAGTATTTAAGTGAAGAATGAAACTAAACCCACCTTGTGTGTTTATGTCTTTTCCTTGAATCATTTCTGTAACTGTTGAGGTATACTCTGATACGACCTGGTCAGGCACTAGGTTCCCGTTCATTGATTCAGGAGATGACCTGCGATTCAGAATTGTATCTGATAAGTTTGATATTATTTTAAAATGGTTATCAAGCCAAAGAGAAGAATACATACCCTGAAGCATTCTCTATGTGAAATTTTGAGGATTGTGGGAGGCAAGGGTCAGGCATTCCTTCACAACCAAGATCGAAATCGACAAGGAGCTCCCCGAACGGAAAGTTTTCACTCAGAAGATCTATATTGGAAAAATCTATGTCAAACAAATCAGTGTCTGCTTCAGAGCCAGAAGAGGAACTTGAGACCAAATCTTCAGTGGCAGGTGCATCTAATTGCATTGTGGCTTCAGTGTCATCGAAGTTGAGCCTTCCTTTCACATGATCTCTTTTACTAGACATCTTCAGATTAGACTTGACCGGAGAAAAAGAAGAAACCATATGGCTCCTTTCCACTGTATAAGAACCAATTTGTTTGTTAGGACTGACTGTGATTCTCTCCTTGGTAACAATTGTGCACTTTGTAGGAGTAACTTCTTGCCGGGGAGTGGTAGATCTATCGCTCTGAGGAGATACTTGCTTTTGTGGTGTCCTCAGAATAGATGAATTGCTCGGAGGTGACATGTCTGATCTGTTGAACAAACACTTTGCCACACTTGATGTAAGATCAGATGAACCGTTAGCTACACAGTTGTTCACCGGCGTTTGCGTCTCCGATGATGCTCCAAATGTCAAGTAGTTGATGTTCTTATCAGCTAGTGTGATCTTTTTCATCCCTGGAATAAAGAAAAGAAGTCATTAAACACGTTTAAAGGGTAATGGAGACTTAAAGGTATCACATCAAATGAATCACTTAAAGAAGTCACCTTTCCTAGATACAGAAGGAGGAGCTTCTACAGAAACCTCAGGGCTCTTTCGCTTTTTGGTTATAGATTGGCTGCTAGAGGGTACTGTGAAATTCCCAACTCTTTTGTTGCCTGGCAATGTTGCTTGCATAAGATTAGGTGTGCCGCCTAGAAATAAGAACATATAATTAGCTCCATTAGAAAAAAAAATCCACATACATCAAGCAAAATCAGGTTCTAGATCATCTTTCCAACGAAATTTCTCTGGAAACAAATCAACCAAACCAAGTATATTAACTTTGGAACAAAATAAGAAACTTTATATGTCTCATTGCAGAAAATAAAGCACCTCAAAGTAGCTTCAATCTCCAAAATCAGAGCATTTGGCAATCATTGTCAACATAAACTAACATAATAAGCATTCCAATTCAGTCCTAGTATGAATTAAACGCACCTGCAGGAGAGACGCCTAAGTTGCTAGGTTGAGAAGTAGAGACAACCACTTGCATAGCCGCCGGAGATGCTGACGGGATCGCCGGAGGAGGAGCGACGGCGGTGGAGTTGTAAGCGTTCATCACATTCTGCATCCCGTGTAATAGATTCTGAACCCGAGTTTTCTCCTGATCCAGTCTCGCTTTCTCCTGATCCACCACAACTTTCTGCTCCTTGAGGCTTATGTATTCGTTCAAAATATCAACCAGAGGTATCAAACTGTGCGGAACCTAAGAAATCGAAAAGGGGGAAATCTATGAGAAAAACCACAGAAAATTTGAAATTGGGAAAATTAAAAAAGAAAATTTACAGGTGCGTACTTCACGAACAGGGGATTTGGAGATGAGAGAAGAAGCTTCAGATCTGAAGATGGATCGGGTCTCTAAGAAGCGATTATCGCAAAGGTATCGATCGACGAGGTAAGCGACCTGCATCGGAGTAACTTTACCCTTGCCTATACGCTCTGCAAGCTTAGATCTATTCGACCTCACCATTTCTCCGGCTAAGATACACGACTGTGAAGGGAAGGAAAGAAGAAAAGAACAAATTGGGAAGATGGTGAAATCAGGAAAAGAGAGAAGATGATTAGAAAGAGGCACAAAAATGAGCGGGAGATTTTTCGAGCCCTTTAGAACGGTTTAATTCGATTTTGCCGGGGGATATTTTGCGTCTGGTTCTGGCGGTAAACCCAAATTTTTGTTAAAAGGTTAGAATTTGGAAACCCATATTTATTCACTTAACCGCTCGGTTCAAGATTTTGGCGCTTGCTATTTGGACCGTTGGGTTAGGGCTGGTTTTCTTCTACTTATATCACTGTATCTTTTAATCGTTGGATTATGCCTCTACCTCTGTCTAGGAATGTGTTTTGCACATTTTTTATATCCATTATTTCAAAAGAACTTGTTCGTTTTACTTTTGCTATTGTTAATGACAAAAACTTAATAGGGATAGTCTCGTCGTAGTAGCTAATTCAACACATTTTCAGTGTAACCAAATTCTCGGATTAGCAATTATTCACCGAAATATGGATATGTAGCTTATTTTGGTTAATATAAATCAGCCCCTAGTATATAATTAAAGTAAACAAAAAAATCGTTATCAAATGTTGTATTTTTTCTTGGAGCTGAAGCCTTGCCTCCAGCTAAATTGATACACCAATACATGTTTCCTTTTACATTTTTTTTTTGACATCAGTTTCCTTTTACATTTTTCCCATCTTTTTACAATTTTACCCTAAATTATGTACCATTCTGATCATATATTTTTTTTTGGAAACGGAAGATCATTTGCTTTGTTGTTACTAGTTTATCTACAATTTGTGTTTTCACAATTTCACATCAAAGTTGCCAATCGCAGCAGTCCAGCTAGTTTTTTGATCTAGTGTATATCTCCTTTTTATCTTTTATGAATATGTCGTCAGTTTAACAATAAGCAAGAAGAAATGGGTCAGACATGGCGGAAATTAGAAATCAAGCTATGAAGTATATGCGATCACACTTAACAGAGTTATATTAAGTCGAATGAAAACCAAAATAAAATCAAGCCATAATCATATTCTAATCGGTTGAATTAGGATAACAGATCTCAGCGTTTTCTGTTTAGCTTTCTGCAACTCCTATTTCGGAGATTTTAAGATAGATAACGCAGTTTTTCATATGACATCATCGATCTGACTCTAACATCAACCAAAAACTATTGATCAGAAAAGTAACACAAAACAAATTGGATCTCAGGTTTTTCAATGGTTTTATCTTCAAACCCATATAGGAGATTTGCAGATAGATAACGCAGTATAATTAACTAAGACATCATCGATCCAAATCCATACAAGAACACGAAAAGCAAATCCGAGCATTCGAGTATCATAAATCACGAAAAATAAAAGAGGAAAAAGCATCTCAGAATTAACACCCCATTTTTTTCTTCACTAGCAATCAAAGTGCAAGGATAACAATTTTTCATGGATTCATCACCGATGCTCAACCAATAACACAGCCAAGAAAAAAAAACACAGAAAACTCTCTGTATCAAAACTAGCTTAATCTAGTAAAAATCAGACGAAATAATTGGTCAAACCACCGTACGTATTTTCAGAATCTGAGGCTCGAGAAATATTTATATAAGAGCCGCCGAGAACAGAACAAACAAAAAAAACTAAAACCCTACCCGCTGTTTGGTAACGAAAATATATTAATCCGTATCGACGCAAAGGACACAATAACCTTAAAGACACTAACTGCGTGCCGTTTTGTTTGAAATCTCTAAAACACACGTGCCGTTTTTTAAAACCACCGAGCATGAGGTAAAAGCATCGTCGTGGAGCCAGAACCTCCGCAAGAATGATGAGTAACGTAGGAATGCTCTGAACCACAGAAACAAGAAACGTGTCAAGCTGCTTCTGTAAATTTTGGTCATCAAGCAACTAATCACAACTTTGATTTTTCCACCAAAAAAGCCAAAATCCGATTTGAGTTTCTATCGATAATCGATATCTTCGTCTATAAGAATACTGAAATATATTTTTACATACACATTACCTTTTATCAAATGCTCACCACACAATTGCGTTTAGCAACGACAAAAACGAAACTAATAAATAGTAATCCTATGGGAATAGTCTTTGGCAAAACTTACATAATGGGAATGGTTTTTGGTAAAATCGCTGTCGAGACTCCCAAATACACGGTGACCAAATCCGGCGACGGTTATGAAGTCCGTGAATATCCACCGGCCGTTGCGGCGGAGCTCACTTACGATCCGTCGGAATTCAAAGGCGACAAAGACGGCGGATTTCAAGTCTTGGCTAAGTACATAGGCGTGTTCGGGAAACCGGAGAACGAGAAGCCGGAGACGATCGCGATGACAGCTCCGGTGATCACGAAGGAAGGAGAGAAGATCGCGATGACAGCTCCGGTGATCACAAAAGAGGGGGAGAAGATCGAGATGACTTCTCCGGTTGTGACCAAGGAAGGAGGAGGAGGTGAAGGAGGGAAGAAGAAGATGGTGACGATCCAGTTTCTGTTGCCGGCGATGTACAAGAAGGCGGAGGAGGCGCCGCGTCCGACGGATGCGAGGGTGGTGATTAGGGAGGAAGGAGGGAGAAAGTACGGCGTGGTTACTTTCAGTGGTAGGGCGGGAGAGAGTGTTGTGAGTGAGAAGGTGAAGAAGCTGACTAGTGATCTCGAGAGAGACGGGTTTAAGATCACCGGAGATTTCGTCCTTGCTAGGTTTAATCCGCCATGGACTCTACCTCCGTTCAGGACCAACGAAGTTATGATTCCTGTTGAATGATAGAAACTGTATCCCAAAGTTTATAGCTTTTGGTCTCAAGAACTTGTTTTTTTCTTTTCTTTTCCACTTTGTGTTTTGTAGTTAAAAGTAACAGAAGAATAATGTATACAATGCAAGCTTTTGATGATTTAAATTCTAGAGAATGAACATGGATGGATCAACAACAAAGTGCTTATTCTGACAAGGGTCAAAAAAGAAAGTTGTAGAAGTGTTTGGATTGAATTATTTCGAATTTGCATTTTAACCAGAGAAAAGCTTAAAGACGATGACTATTAAGTTAAAGAGCATGAGAGGAAGCCTCATGTACTGGCAAGCGTGGATGAGACCAATGATTTGGCCTTTGAGAGAGTTTCTTTTGCCGGTTTGGTGGAGCTCTGCGAGTGTCCATCCTTTGGGAGCTAGAAAACGGTCTTCGTTGAGTATAGCAAGTGCGTTTGCGAATAGCAGCAATCCTTCCATCAGTGTCCAGAAGCCCATGATTATTTCTCTGTGACACACCAAGATTTGAGAACGATCAAGAATCATGCTTATAGAGTGGGAAACATACATACACAGTTTATCTATTCAAATGGAATTGAATCCACTTGTAATAATCCTCTATTTGAGTGATCGAGTATAAGCCATGAAACATGAATGATACATGAATGAACACTAACCGATTGTAGTACTATACTATAAAGGTATAATAAGCCTCTGTATTTGGAGTTTGGAACGACAAAACTGTTTTTTTTTTTTCAGTGTTGTCTTGCAAACAACCTCTTCAGGCAATAGAATCACATACGCATCTCCAAAATAGTAAGAAGAAGCTAACAACACTAAAAATGGTTTTCTCATTTTCTGAAGGTAAACCATCATAATTGGATCAAAAGATTGGATCCTAATTCTCAGTAGCTGAAGCAGCCAATATGAGGGAAGACAGTATAGATCAGCCTATGATGCTATTTTTTAACATGACGAATTCTCCACGAATAGCGATCAGGCTAAGAGAAATGTGAAAAAACGTTATAAGGGAGCAAATGCATACCGAGTAAAGGAAACTTGACGTTTAGCTCAAGGCTTATTAGAATCCTGGCCTCAGTAACTGCAGAAACCGATAATACAGTTTCCATTAAACAATGGATTTACTACTTTCTCAAAACAAATGATAGTTAGATGCAGAAACTAGAGAAATCCAGATTCGATGCAAATTCCATTTATCAATGGATTTACTTTCTCAAAACAAATGATAATTAAATGCAGAAACTTGAGAAATCCAAATCCGGTCAAAATAGATAGATTAATTGGCTCACATAAAATCCTAACTACGATTTCATCAAAGATCCAAGATTTCAGGTCAAATTCAAGCGAACTGATTGATTGATTGATTGATCTTCCTAAAGAAACAAACCCCAAATCTCGCAGCCATAATTCAAAAGTAAAAGATCGATTTTTTTCAAATACAAGGCCAGAAAATGGAGGGTTGAATCAAGAACAGAGTGCAAATTCCCGCTGTGTCCCCGGAAAAATCATCCCGCCGGGAACTAGCAGCTGGAGAGAGAAAATACCGGCGGAGAGAGAGAAGAAGAGGAAGAAGGAGGAGAAAAAAGTACTTACAGGTAATTCGAAATCGACGGCGTTGAGAATCGAATGTGGAACGAGGATCACGAAGCCTGCAATATGATTTTTATCTCTCACATTTGTTTACTTTAAACTACTAACTCTTTTAGCTAATGTGAATAAACCAGAACCGGGTTTCTTCGACCCGGTTAGAAGAAATTCGTGTGAGGACCCGGTATAAACATAGAAGCTTGAGAATCTTCTTGATGAAGAGCACTATGAAAGAAAATAAAACTTAACAACTTGAAGGGGTGATCGTGGTTGTATGTTGTAGTATAATCCGTACTCCAATATACAATGAATATTCGAGGTCACTAATTAAAAACAATGTGATGATTGGATTTGGACCCCAATAACAAAAATAACACAAATCATGATGCTTGACAAGGATCACTCATCTCGGTATTTATAATCAGACACAAACATAACAAAAAAATGCTATATATCTTTGATGCTCATGTATAGTGTGAATCAATTCTACAGATTTGTGTGTGGATCTTCCAAGAAAATCATCTTCTTCTTTCCTATATTGTACAAGAAGGCTACAAAGTAGTTTAATCACTGTGTTGTCTGTTCAGTATTGTGTTTTCATCTATCTTTAGGCACTCTCCTTCCATCTATTAGACTCTGTTCTTACACTTGATTTCAAGAGTTGCTCAGGCTGAGACTTGTTACAGATGCAATCTGGTTGTGGGTTTGCATAGAAATTCTCCTCTAGCCGAGGGAACTCACCGGGCAGTCTCTCATAAGGCGCTCCAATCCTGTCTCCATGTAATCTCTTCACCTCTGAAGAAAACTCACCCCAAGACATCACACCATCGTCTAAATGATCTATCAGTCTAACAAAATTCAACCTGCCAATTCACAAGACAAAATCATCATCTCAGTAATATAAAAAAAGTAAAGAGATAGAGAGAGAGAGAGGATCCAAAACAGCAAATGCAGTAATGACTCAAAAGTCTCAAACCTGTCAGGATTGATAGTCTTCTTAAACCCTTCAAACCTCCTGTGCCCTTGTACCGCTTTTGCCATATTACCATCATAAGTGTACACAAAAACGTCGCTTTCGAGTGCAACAATGTAATCCAACGCAGCCAAGCGGTTTTGGTATGGCTTAAAGGGCTCTAACTCTTCTTCAGTTGCTAAAGTGGAATGAGAGAAGACGTTTGGGTACTCTTCTCGGAAAGCATCCATGCTGTTTCCTCCATAGATTTCACCGGCAACTATGTACACAGTCGTGGAAGATGGATACCCCATTGCCTTTAGAAATATGGCTGCTTCTCGTGGAGACATCGGGCAACCTCCTTGGATCCGTCTCTCTCTGCTGTCAATCTCTTTCTCTTTCCAGTGTTTAACATTGTACCTCATGATTCTCAGCTCTTCAGCTTCTCCAGCTGTTAGGTTGTGGCTGCAGCCTGTAAAGGCAAGCATGTCTTTCTCGTATCTGCATGGCAAATACTTGAATCTTTTCAATGTCACCAAAAAATGAAAAGAAGTGATGCAAAAAAAAGAAAGAAATATCAACTCTACCTCAAGTGCAGAGCAATGAAAGGCTCACTATTGTTTCGTAACCGGTTAACAAGAACTTCTCCAAAATCTTTAATCTCCTTGGAGTAACCTAAAGCCTGGTAATTAGCACGGCATCTCAGCCGTTGGATTGATGGTGGCAAGCCATTGTTGGCCAAGCGTGAATCGGTGTGTGTAAACTTTATCACCTTGTGCTTTTTCAAAAGTGGTAGCATCTCGTTTCTGTAGTAACTAGCCTGCATTAAAAGCAGAGGACTTTTTTAACCACAAAAGCCGCTAACAAAAGTCCGTTTGGTAAAATGGTGGAAACAAAGCACAGACCTTGGACCAAGAAACAGGAGCCTTGAGGAGAGGTCTCATGGCTGCATACCGTGGAGGCAAGTACTCAACAATGTCAACGTCATCTTTCAATACGTTCATGAAGTGTCTCCAGTCAAAAATATCTTTGAAAGTACTGCAAATAACAAAGAATGTCTCTTCAAATTCCACTTCTTTTCTTGAGGAAATATCTTGTTTGCGTAGAGAGTAAGTAAATAAGATAAAACCTTGGGTCAGTCCAGAATGATTCGTGGTCGAGGAGTGGAAGAACAAGAGTCGCATTCATAATCTTTGCTGCAGCAACCATGTCACATATCTGCATTGAATTTAAAAATCAATAGAAGAAAGGTCAGAAAACAAGAGATCAAATCTATGTAAAACAAACACTTGAACATGAAAACTCACTCCAGTTCTCATCTGATTCAATCCGCCATTCGCGTGTACTAGAAGATAACCGTTGGTTTTCCTACGCAGCCCTGAACCAGACACATTTCAGAAACTGCAACTATTGTTTAAAGAACCTGAAAAATGCAAGCTAACAGGCTTACTTGAACGATTCTTGGGACGTGAAGCACACTGGCGATAATAACCGCTTTCAGGTTTCTGCCATATTTCTGGAATCTGTAAAAACAAAACGTCGCCAAATCATCAGAAAGTCTAGTCAAACAAAAATTAATGATTTTGGCTTCATACGTTGCGGTAACAGATTTAGTTCACATTTAATCTGTGAGACTAAATTGTAACTTAAACAAAGCTAAATCTATTCAAAAGTTCATAAATTGATAGTCATCCCAACAATAAATGCATTGTTTGGAATTTAAAAGATTACTAAACATTTGCAAAACCCCAAAGGAGTGAAACATCAAAGATCTTCCCTTTTAAGTCTTCTTCAATAATCAAAGGGTCACCAATTCACAGGATGCGTCACAAAGAGACAAAATCTCAGGCCTTTTCGAATGAATATATTCAATAAAACGTCGGTTTCGATAATACTAATAATGTAAGGTCAATGAGAGCTATATTGAAAAGTGGTGATCCACACCAAACAAAGGCTGCTCGATTCCCATTTGACTATTCCTCGTCAAATTCCTTTCTCAGAAAATGCAAACGTATATGATTGGTAAAACCGTTACCGATTAGTTAATTTGATCTAATAGTGACGCAATCAACAGAGATATTCCGAGAATTCCACGTTGTATCCTACGAACTCTACCCCACTTTTTCCTAATAGAATTTTCCCGAGAAAACGAAAGGAACGACTTGTTCAAAAACTCGACCTTTGATCAACGACATGAAGAAACAGAGGAAAAAATTGGGTTTTGATCAGAAAAAACTCAAAACTTTGTTCCATTCTAATATTCTAGGGAAAAAAATAACAGAGTAAAATCTATCTCGCAGTGATTAAAAAAAACTGATCACAAGGCAATTGATTGGTCAAATGACGAAACTTTGAAGATTTGGGGGTGTTCATCGATTGGTCATCGATCAGAAAAATCCTAAATTTATCATTTTTTTTCTCGGGAAAGTAAAAATTGTCAATGCAAAGAAGAAAACGACTCACGGGAAGCTTCTCAAAAGCAACGTTCTCCGTCATTGCGCGTTGAGCCATGGACCAATCTTCGTGAAGCGTCCTAACGACGACGAGCTCGTTCAAATCCCTCCGGTGCGCGTGGTCAACGACGCGCCCACTCAAGAGAGAGACTCTGAGAAAGAGCGACGCGACGACGAGAACCATGAGAAGAGCCAAGATCCGACGGCCAACGTTTCTCCCAAAACAGAATCCACCGTCGCAGAGAAACGGCAATTTTAGCTTACGGAGGACAAGGTACCGAATCGTCGGGTGGTGGTAATGATGATCGTGGTGATAATGGGATCCGCTAGACGAGGAACCCATCGAGGAAGGTGAGGAACACGCGCCGCTTTGTCCAATGACATCGCCGTCGTCTAAATCCGGCGAGACGGAGATGTTGACTATGTTGTTGCAGTAATCGGAGGAAATGGATGGTCGTTCGGAGGTGGTGGCGGTTTCAAGGGAATCTCCGACACGGCGGCGTGTGGTGGTGGGTCCGGCAGTGATTGGTGCAACGGCCAAAGTGCTAGCGCCGGCCGCCGACATATCGCCGCCTGAGAAGCAAAATCAATCTCGGAAAAGCGCCAAAAAAATTAAAGGTTGTATTTTTAGAGAGAGAGGGAGAGAGAGAGAGAGTGTTGGTTTTTTTTTTTTGTTGGTTAATATTGTTTTTTGAGGGTTAGTGGTTGGCCATGTTATGGTTTTTTTTTTTGTTTTTCTGTATTAGCCACCGTGATGTTCGGCGAAGCTGTGAGAGGCGTCGAAGCTCTCTCTGATCTCTGTTTCGTATGTATGTATGTATATATATATACTCATATGTATGTTTTATGAGCCTTTCCTTATTTATTTGTTTTCCGTTAATTACACCTTTTTATTTATGGAAATACGAACATTTGATTTTGATTTGTTTTCTATAAAAGCTAGGGTGTCCGGTTTTCTTCTGAACCAAGCTCCACCGAAAACGAAATAAAGGACATTTGGTTATACCGTATATGCTCAAACCAATTTTTTTAATTACCTTCACTAACTATTTACAAAAATCATTGTATTACAATCACCTTATTCACGGAGTATGTGACATTTCTCATCACAAATGAAAAAATATTACCAGGTTATATAATGTTCCACATTCATATTGTTGCTATTCATACAACATTATAGTCGCGAGAACATAATCTCTTACATCTTTTATATATATAAAAAAGGAGAAAACTCTCAGCACATACATTCTATATTATAGTTTTAAAAATCAATAAAACTTTAAAGGGCACTACCCACTAAATTATTTTTATTGTTACATCATCTTCGACAGTTCTATTTACCATTACCTCACGTAGCACGACACATGTGCCACGCCACACATGCCGCTCGTTTCCCCTTAATTGTTTTTTTTTTGTTTCATTTTATATGGAAAAACAAATTCCAACTTACTCTGCTATCATTACATTTTCTTTAAGTGTTCATGTTTCAGCTATTTTGATTTAATTAGGAATAAAAAAAGAAGTTAAACACTGAATTAATTTGTATCATGTGGACCAAACCTTAGATTTGCCGCCAATATAATTGGATACGTAAACACTAACCACATACATCATCCTCCTCTCAAATGCTACCACGTGGATACATTCCAAACACTTTCCGGATCTCAAGCCGGTCGGCAAAAGCACCAGCGGAAAATTCGTTTTCAGCATCTTCTTGGTGCATTTATGGCCGTTGGATCCGAATCAGACGGCCAATACACGATCTCTCTCGATCCTACATGTGAACTTGTCATTAGCGTAAGTAAAGTACCATATCATTTGTACAATCTTCAGATCAAGTATTAAAAATTAGTCAATACTAAGGGAATTCATTTTTGTTTTAAAAGAAAAATTAGCTGAACAATTCGAATTTGGTTTGGTGTACTGTATAAACCGAGTTTACATCAAACCAACTCAGAGATTGTTTTTTGGTCTCTCGAGTTCGACCAAACGCGAGTTAAGGATAAAAGGTTCATAGTATATCAAACACACAAAAATTCACATATTGGACACTGCTGCCAAAATATTATTTATATCAAATTATGTTTTAAGAATAAAAGCTTCAACATTTCTTATATCAAAACGTTATATTTTTAATAAAAATATTTCATACACATCAATATTTTAATTTTCTTTTTTAAACTTCAACTATAGTGACTAATTTTAGTATTTTGATGATAAAAATTGATATGTATCAAATCTTCAAAACAAATTGAATGTTTATGTTTACTTAAATTGGGAATGATCTTCAGTCGCATTTCTCACTACACTTAATAGAAAATTAAAATGAATTCTATCAAATATTTTTAACTCCTTTAAATAATTATTGTTTTTACATTCATTTCATATGGATTCGTTAGTAGATTTGGATGTATGATCAATCATAACCATAAATAACCAAAACATCTGAAGTTAAGCTTATACATTTTTTATTACAGAGACTAAAGTATCATTTTTCGTCCAATCTCTTAATTATTTCTTGTATGTTGGTTTCATGTTCGAAGATCTTCACATTCCTATTTTTAGTATGTTTTTAGTAGATTTTTTTTCTCTTAATGCTTCAACCAATCAACGATCATGCGAAACCTTGTACTTTGATGCCACTTTTTGAGTTGCAAATGTCTAATTTAACGGCATACTCTCAATTAAACAAAACAACAATTGCGCAAAAATGCTCATTGTTTAAACTACTGGAAATTTGGCCTATTCACAAGTTTAAGAATGGAATGGACTATGGTTAGTGGTCTTGGTAAATGGTAACATGCCCATGGTGAATGATGTGGCCGTGGAACAACATAATAGGATGTAGCCATGTAGAAACACTAGAAAGTTTATTCTCTTGTTAGCTCTACTCCACTCTCTATAGCATCTTCAACTTTGTTGTATGTTTGTCTCCAATTTGTTCTAATCAAATTTCTTAAACAATGTGATGAAGCCATATCTTTGTAATACTTTTTCTACATTTAATATGAAAATCCTTTATAGAAAAAAAACTATGGGAAGATAGGTATTTAACCCACTTTGAGACATTAATATATGGGTGTGTGAATTTAACTAGAAAATCCAGATTAAAAACAAAAATATATAAAACAAGAACTGAAACTAATTTTTTCTATGAATTGATTTGTTTCATTTAGGCTAGTTTCATTAGTTGAAAATCGAAAAATTCGAAACCAAACTCAGTAACCGAATTTAGTGGATTCAAACCAAGCCAGATAAACCAAAAAAATATTTAAACCAAGTTTAAATTGTGGATAAACCAAAGGCAATTCTTTTTTTTTTTGATATTTAAACTTGGGAGAGAGAAAAAAGTTTAACTCAAAATATCGCAAAACCCTAAAAACTTTCTTCCTCCACTCTCTCAATTCCAAACACTGCGACGGGAAGACATGGACACGGAGACAGACCAAATATACCAGGTCGATGTCGGAAATCTTCTGGCTTTCAATCCAAATCACCGTTTCCCTTCTGCTCCTTCTACAAGGTTCGTCTTTCTCTTCTCTCTAGTCTTATCTTCGTGAAGCTCGTGTTGAGTTCTTCGGCGGCGGCGGCTTGATTTGTTTTTCTCTGTTTTATGATTGTGTTATATCTTGATTTGACGTGGGTTTATGCTCTTATCTGCTTGTAATTTTTTTTTTCGAATGAAGAGAAGTAAAGTATGCATTTTCCGTAAGAGTAATTAATAGCAAAAGCTTCTTTTTTTTTTTTTTTGGGTTCCCTGCCTTCTGGAGCTAGAAACTAGAAAGTGTCTATAAGGTCTTGTGATGTTATTGTGAACTTGTTTCTTTTTGCTGGCTAAAAATGGGTATAGATTAGTGAAATTAGCCAGCAATCAAAGAATGGTCTGCCAGACGAACATAAGCCATTGTAGTCTCTCTAAATATCAATTACTAAAGTACAAGAGTGAGATATGTAGTCTTATTATGTCCTAAACCATGAGTCACATCAAAAGGCTGTGTCTTTGTTCAGCCACCACTTTCAGTGTTAATTGTTTTGGCAGTTGAAAATCTTTCTCAGTTATAATCTTCTGTAATTAGGGAACAATGCGGACTTACTTGTTTCTGTTGAGAGTTTTGTTCTATATCTATTGTTGAGTACTGTTTCTCCAATTTATTATAGGGAGGAGCTTGTGAAGGAGTGCATTACGGAGGGAACCAAACTTGTTCAGGCGATAGCTGATAGTCTTTTCAACTTTCCATCTACTGAAACTAGTGATGGTCCCCTTGTCCAGTTGCCTCCGCCTACAACCAAACTTCCAAGAGAGAAACATGTAAGGCACTCCTTTTATTCTTCATTATCTCCTACTTTGTGAGATACTATCATTAGCTATGGATGTTTTGATAGTATGGGTTTTGGAAGTTTTTGAAATGGATACCGGTTTGAAATGCAAACAAGTGATTCTTGTATGACCCTTTCCAGAAAACTGAACAACAGATCTAGCATCTCACAAGAGTGTTCATATTTTGCTCATCACTTATCTTTTGAATCTACTATATAAGCATGCTAATCTTCTCCTTTTTTCCAGCTGCCGAGGCCTAAGCCTCCTACAAAGTGGGAGGAATTTGCTCTTAAGAAAGGTAAAGCTGACTGATAATTTGTTTCAATGATTGCATGCTTGAGTTTTTCCTCAGATTTGATGGGTCGAAGACCTCTTTGTTCTATACTTTCATGATAATAATGTTTATGTTGTTCCATATTGTTTTTGGTTATGCTTCTTAGGTATACAGAAGCGCAAGAAGGACAAGATTGTATACGACGAACAAACCGATCAGTTTAAGCGTCGTCATGGTTATGACCGTGTTAACGATGATAATGATATCCCCATTATTGAGGCAAAGGCAACAGATGGTAGGTCTCGTGAATAAAACTTTATTATCTTTTGCTCTTTCATTACCTAGATTATGTTGTTAGTTTCTTAAAAAAGTGTATAAGCAATTACTGTGGCAAATACATTTTTAGTCTCTTTGATTTTTTGACGACAAGGATATGGAGTTGCATTACAAGTTGTATTTTTTTTCTACTTATTATTTTTGGATAACTGCAGAACCAGGAGAAGATCCTTTTGCTAAGAGACTGGATGATAAAAAGAAGAGAGTTGGAAAGCAAGAAAAGAACAGACTACAGAATTTGAAGACAGCTGCTAAAGCTGGTGCTTTACCGAGGTATAACAACTTGGTATTGCGAATGTTTTCCTTGCCCGAGATAGCTTACACGATAGTATCATACCACATGTTTCATGGTTTTGATGACTGAAGATTCAATTATACATCATTTGCAGCCATGTCCAACTTGCTGCAACCGCATTGCCCATATCAGGCACCAAAGCTCAGCCAAAGAAAATTGGGAAAGAGGCACTTGGAGACGTAGCAGGTTTAGCCGCTACTTCAACCGCTAGTGGTGGAAAATTCGATAAAAAGTTGCCTGGAGAAAAACCTCCTAAGAAGCAAGGCAAACATCACCAAGTAATTCAGCGATCAAGTCCTTTACTTTAGTCAATTTGTCGACGAGTTATAGTGTTTTCTGATTTGTGTGTTTTTTGTTTGTTTGCAGTATTTACCGGTTGTGCCAAAGTATGGGGTGGTTGACGAGGAAAAAGAACAGACAAATAAAGTACTTAGCAAAATCTTCTCGAAGCATTCGCATGAGATCCTCAATGTTGGCAAGGTAAAAAAAAAAAAAAAACTTTTCAGCTATCCTCTCTGGTTTTGGTCTTTTGCCTCATGATGTTTGTATGTGAGATGATTATGTTAATCCATTATAATAAAAATGTGATTTAGGCGATAAACATGTACAACGACAAGAAGGAAAAGAAGAAGTCAGGAAGATCAGACAAGCTGAAACCTAAGAAAAACATCACCAAGAAGAAGCCTGCCAACAAAGCCTAGTGAAGAGATTCCCCCTCAATCTTATTTACTTCTGTCTCTCATAACAAAAACAAATTTTGTGTTTCATTTGCTCCTTCCTCTATATGTTAAGTAATATTTTAATCTTTCTGAACACATTGGACCAGATACACAAGTTAAAGCTAGTAAGTTCGAGAAATTAGTGTGATTCTCTAATACTCTCAAGTATCCGATCCAATCAAGTATTTGGCCACCATAAATAATATACACAATAAGGTCAAAAAAATAATAATATACACAACCCACAGTTTACGAGCAACCTCAGTTTCTGTACAAACAAGTAGAGATGATCAAAAATCAACTCTGGTTTTTAAGCCTTTAACCACTCAAGACAAGGACATAAACCCCAGCAGAACCTTGCTGGCTAAGAATCTTTGCTTTAATTTGGTTCTTGTTAACAGTTCAATAAACTTCGTCGAAAGATATACAAAATCGTTTCGATTTAAGAAAAAGACATACAGTACCATTTTTGTATGATGAAAACTTAAATGACATTCGTCCAAGCTTCTCAATTGACAATTGTCATAACTTTGTCCATAACTTGTACATCTCTTCAGTTTTATTTATTTTCTTTTTGCCTATGAAAACGGGGTTTAATGTGTTGCAATAGAAAAAAAACAGCTATAATAGCATCAGAACGCATCAGTACCATCGAACATTCAAACTTTGATGTGTTTACATCGAACGTTATTTTTGACCGACACCACTTCAATAGTAGTCGATAAAAACGTTTTTGGTATAGAAGAAGATGTAGATATAAAAAAAAAGTATCAGTTAACTTGAAATTGTAAAACGAGACTAGAAAATAAGCATAAGTAACACAATAATTCCCGCTAGCAGTAGAACAAACCATTTAACCCCAGGAGCCATGTGCTCTTCTTCTTCATCGTCTAGTTCACATTACTCTACTCCTCTAGATGGAGCATTAGGGGTCTTCCGCTACTTGAGCTTCTTCTTCAGTCTTCCTCTTGTTGTACTCTTCTTCCTTGAATGTTTTAGAGCATCAACCAAAGTCAGTAAATCCAAAAACATGCTATATCTACTCCACATCTGCGGTCTAGCTAGAACTCAATGGTGAATTCTAAAAGATTAGGAATCTAAAAAAACTTGCCTCAAAAAGCTTATATGAAAGACGATCACGGTAGTCCCCAAGATTGATCTGGTCCCACTCCTACTTGACAACCAAATGCACATCAAGCGGAAATCAGATAGGGAAAACTTGTGACAATGGCACAATTAGGTAAGCTGTGAAAGGGGTCTTCTAGTTGAACGCAATTGTACATTCCAAAACTGAGAAATCTTAACTTGAAAGATATTTAAAAAACTTGCCTTTGATCGACCCCATACAAAGTTATCAGAGTTAGTACGATCCACAACTCTATGACTAGCCCATGAGTCCCACTCCTACTCGAAAACAATGGGCATTTTTTCTTTGAAATGGAAACATGTGGTAAAAAGACACTAAATGAAATATGTTTTCATAACAATGTCTAGAAGCAAGCATAGAGAGAGAGAGAGAGAGAGAGAGAGAGAGAGAGAGAGAGAGAGAGAGAGAGAGAGAGAGAGAGAGAGAGAGAGAGAGGCTTACCCAAAATCCATGTTCTCCACCCTTGAGATGCGTGGTGAAATCTTCCAAGCTTTGACAAGCCAACTCGCATTGACTGCAATACCAGGGGGATTCACCAGTTTCAGTGCACTTGTCCTGAAGAACAATCCTTGTAGTCTTGTCTTCATTGTCCGCAGACCCTGAATCCATATCATCATCTGTTGAAGAAAAAAGAACTCACTAGTTCAGAAAGAAACAGCTTTGCTGGTTTTATATTATTTCAACGAGAGATCACAATCACACAGTGTATGTGTGTGAGAGGGAGAGAGGACAAACACCTGACAGTAAGCTTTCCCAGAGCCACTCTTTACGAGCATTATTCTGAAAAACTTTCCAGCGCGAGGATGAGGATGGAACTAGTTGATGATCATATGCCAGAAGATATTTGTATCCTTCTTCTGCTTCACTGTGAAATATAAGAGCTAGGGGTTCCAGTAGATTATGACCACCAAATATGAGCATTGTAGTATCCAGTCTAGTCCACATAGAGTGGTAACACAACACCGATGCAGGTCCTGGTTCAGTAAAGGAAAGCAACGTTGAACCCTAAACCCTAAATTAAATAAATCCATTTGTGTACTAAAGAAATGATAGAATTAGAGATAGAAAGAAGATTAACGAATGGAATGGTTAAGAGAGATTCCACTGGAAGAAAGCTTGCGCATGACGTCTTCACCAAGGCCCTCTCTTAGGTTCCCTACGGCAGTGATGGTGACAAGATCAGAGTAGCCTGATTTCTTCAACGCCGTTTCTATTCTCCGACCAACCAGACAAGGATCAAACCCCTTTGGAATCGGACAGCTGTTGAACGCCCACCACACTAACCAGAGTGTTGGGAGATCAATATGATTTGAGATGATTATGTTGATGTCTAATAATAAATATGATTTAGGCGATAAACATGTACAACGACAAGAAGGGAAAAAAAAAGAAGTCAGGAAGATCAGACAAGCTGAAGCCTAAGAAAAACATCACCAAGAAGAAGCCTGCCAACAAAGCCTAATGAAGAGATTCCCCTTCAATCTTATTTTACCTCTATCATATCAAAAGATTACAAATTGTGTTTCATTTGCTCCTTCCTCTAAAGCTAGTAAGTTCGAGAACTAGTGTGCTTCTCTAAAGCTCTCAAGTTCCTGATCCAATCAAGTATTTGGCCACAATAAATTATATACACAACACAATAACTGCTCTGTATACAAGCAATCTCTCTCTGAGTTTCTGTACTAACAAGGTCGAGATGATAAAAAAATCAACTCTGGTTTTCAAAGCTTTAACCACTCAAGGCAAGGACACAAACCCCAGCAGAACCTTGCTGGATAATAATCTTTCATGTAAATCTCTTTACCAAAACCGATTATGTAAAAGCTGAAGGCTTTCCCACGGTCTTCCATGGTGACACGAGTCACAGGCACAACAGATATGGTGTGTCTCTCGCAGACCACGTTCGCCGTTGGTGGAACTTCAGCTCTCAACGAGATGACTTCTGAGGAGACTTTGTTGAGGAAATATGAGTCTGCAAAGTAAGCTGGCGTGCACTGGTAAGCTTGTGTGTTGCAAAGCTGAACTCCTTCTGCTCTGTGAAATACTTCTTCTGGTACCGAGCCAGCTCCTCTTGTTGCACTCACCTTTCGCTTCGACAGAGTCTTCCTGTCAAGAAAGCAAATCTTTCAATAGCCACTCATAGCCAATTTCAATTGCTGGTCAAAGCCATTTGAGAAAAACTTACCATCTCACAACTGCGATACTGCTTGTTAGAAGAGAACCAGTACCGTTACAAGACTGACATTTGATTAACCCGCGAGACTGGCAGTTTGGGCAAGGAAGCTTTCCCTTACCGTTACAAGCTGCGCATCTGTGGAGAAGAGAAGGTTTTCTTTAGATAGGAGCTACGGTTTGCGACCATCAATGTGAAAGTTGAGTTGTTGATATGAAACTTACATTGTGTCGGATCCATCTTTATGAGCAATCAAACCTCTTCCATAGCAAGAGGAGCACTTCATCACCTGATTCTCCTTGTAAAACCCCGGCTCTCCATCGGCGTTGCACGTTGGACATACTACTTCTCCTCTTCCTGTGCAACCTGTGGATCAATTATACCGAACCTCATCAGAATCTACAAGATTCTTATTGTCCTAACAGTAAATTATGTTGTTACCAGTGCATTTATCAACAGTCTCAGAATTAGGGACCGGGACTTGAGTTTCTTTGTAAGGGACAAACAGTGTAGGAAACTGCGATCTCAGGTCCAGTTGCCATAACTCAGGAGCAGATCCATCTTTCTTCCCATTGAAATTCCCGCCAGTGAAAGGCACTGTCTGTGTTAAAGCTTCCCTCTCTTCAATGAAAGTGTCAAGAGTTCCGACATAAACATTGCAGTCTTCAACAGCAAGAATCTTCCATGTCCGAGCAGGACGGCTTCCCCAACAGCAGCGATGGCCAATATGATCAATAAGCAGCTCTCTTATTTCAATCTCATCAAGAATCTGCCTGAGGATTACATTAGTTCCAACAAAAATGTTCAGAACATGCAGAGAAATAAATCTAACGCCACAAGTCTTTGCGTCCTAAGAATTGTAAAAGCACATGGAATAGCAACATAAGTAAGTTGTTCCCTGGACTTACTTTTGCAATTCATGACCTGCTCCAGATGCACTCGGGTAGCCAATAGCTTGAGCTGTGAAATGCCAAGAAGAAATCAGAAATTTGTGAAAAAACTGTTATTTGGTAGGACATTAGAATAATACACAGAACCGATAAATCATCATCTGGCTAAAGAAAGAAAACCGAGAGAGAGAGAGGAAACAAAAAGCTTCTGTAAAACTCCAGAAATGGAGATCATAGGAAATGATGAAACTTTCACATTATATAAGGGATCAAAATCAAAAGCTAGAGGAAGCAGCATGTATTCGATCATCTTAATCACCAGTAAAACTCACAGCTCAAATATAATTTGAGTTACGAATCGTCTCCACAATAGCAATGAGAATAGATGGGCCGAGACGAGACGAGACTTACGAGTGGGCAACGAAACTGGGGTCGTTAAAACGGGAGGATAGAGAGACGGAGGATCGGAAACAGCTGAAGCGGAACGGACTTCCTCTACGGTAACGCCAGCTCCGGCGAAAAAGGCGTTGCGAGCAGAAGAGCTGTTTCTCTGCAGGTACTGGTATGATGAATCCCACCTCTCGGATTCCTTCGTTTTATCTGATCCGAAAAGAGAATTCAACAAGACCAATTATTGATCGGAGAATTCAAAGGAGATATATACACAGACAGAGGATAAAGTAAGGATTTTTGAATACCTGAAAGCAGAGGCTTATCCATGGATTACGAATCTCTCTCTGCCTCTCCGCTTTTTGAGCTTCCAAATAACAGAACCGAAAGAGATTAAATTTGAGATTTTTCTTAGAGAGTAAGGAAAACCCAGGTCAATTCGATCTTTTTCTTGTATCCTCAAATTGTGCCTTATTTTCATTACTCTTACTTCTTCTTCTTCTTCTTAAATTTTACACGAAACAGAGGAGACAGATTTTGCTTTTTTTTTTGTTTTTAATTGTCGGGTCGGTTGGATCCGGATAAGGTCGGGTCCGTATGTGCCATGTGTTGAAATGGTTGAGAATTCCACCCACCTCTGATTTTGTACACTATTAACGTGAGATAATAAAGATTTTGTACTAACGTGCCATGATAAGATTTGCGCATATGGTCGTGTCTTTTAAGATTCAACTAGACAAACCAAGGTCGTATATATGAGAAAATTAACACATTCACATGGATGTAGCTTCAAGCCGTATCACATTCTGGTTCCATCAAAACGACAACAAATCAAAAGACGATCTCATCTCACATGATGCGATCAGAAATAATCGTCCAAGAAAAAAAATTTCCTTATAAAAAACATTATTTTATAGTTAATGGTATGGTTATGATACAGTTAACTGTAATTATACAAGTTCTCGGTACATCGTAACACGTATCTGATTTTTAAAATTAAAAAATACGAAACATAATTAAACTTTAACGCGGTTTAATATGAATTGTGAAATTAATGAGAGCACTACCGACTTCCACTCGCGTCCACATTTTGAATTTTCTTCTTCCACTCTCTCTCTCTCTCCCACTCACGCCTTTGCTCAATTTCACTCTTTCATGGCGGATTCTCTCCCAAATCTCCTCTCTACCCCTTCTCGTGTGAATCTCCTCTAAGATCCGCAATCTCTTTTTATTTTTCCTTCAAGCTCTCTAACCATGGCCGCTTCACTGCCACTGCAGTTTCAGTTTCTTCTTCTTCTTCTCCTAGCTAAAGCTGTTTACTCGTCTTCCGAGTACTTGATCGGAGTCGGAAGCTATGACATCACTGGTCCTGCCGCTGACGTCAACATGATGGGCTACGCAAACTCCGAACAAATCGCGTCCGGGATTCATTTCCGTTTACGAGCTCGGGCTTTCATCGTCGCTGATCTCCAAGGGAAGAATCGCGTCGCGTTTGTGAATCTAGACGCGTGTATGGCGTCTCAGATCGTTACAATCAAAGTTCTTGAGCGGCTCAAGGCAAGGTACGAATCTTCTTCTTTCTTTTGGGTCGTCTCTATCTTCCAGAATCTTCGGAATATCTAAAATCTGACATTTTTAGATTCATCTTTAATTAGACTGTTAGTGGAATTTCAATCGTTTCCAGAGTTAGGATCGATTTTGAACTAATCAACACGAAATCGATGCTGAAATTAATAATAATGTTTAATCGATGAGAAATTTCAAGTCTTTTTTTTTGTTTTCTTTCTTTTGCAGATACGGTGATATTTACACAGAGAAGAATGTGGCAATAAGTGGAATCCACACGCATGCTGGACCAGGAGGGTATCTTCAGTATGTCACATATATTGTGACGTCTCTTGGATTTGTTCGTCAATCTTTTGACGTCCTCGTTGATGGCATTGAGCAAACCATTATCCAAGCTCACCAAAGTCTACGTCCTGGTTCCGTTTTTGTCAACAAAGGTAAAGTATTCAATTAAAAATCCTCTCTTTGCTCTCCTTCAATCGTAATTTTGAAGGATAAAGGTTCTTGCTTTAATTAAAATCGTTGTGTTTGTGTGTGTGATGATTAGGGGATCTCTTGGATGCTGGCGTGAACAGAAGCCCGAGTTCTTATCTAAACAATCCTGCAGCTGAGAGGAGTAAATATAAGTATAACGTTGACAAAGAAATGACGCTCCTCAAGTTTGTTGATTCTCAGTTGGGGCCTATTGGAAGCTTTAACTGGTTTGCAACTCATGGGACCTCCATGAGCAGGACTAACTCTTTGATAAGTGGAGATAATAAAGGCGCAGCAGCGCGTTTCATGGAGGACTGGTTTGAGAATGGACAGAAGATTTCTGATAGTTCAAGAGAAATCCCTCGGCGAGTATCAACCATTGTTTCTGACCTGAGCAGAAACCGTGAGTCAAATCCCTTTTTCTGAGTTACCTAATGTGGCAATTCATATGACAAATGATTCTGCACAATGTAGTTGCAGCGAGACTAATCAGGATGAAAGTTATATTTTTGTTTCAGACAGCAGACTTTTGGATATTGCAGCTTCTTATAAGTCATCTAGAGGACAGTCTGTGGCTAAGTCCCTTGATGCTAAGATACGAGTAAGAAAGGATTCAAAGCGTAAATTTGTCTCTGCCTTCTGTCAATCAAATTGTGGTGACGTGAGTCCGAATGTTCTTGGTGCGTTTTGCATCGACACTGGACTGCCTTGTGATTTCAATCACAGTACCTGCAATGGAAAGAACGAATTGTGCTATGGACGTGGCCCTGGGTATACTATATACAACATTGGTTTCTTATGTTTTTTCTTTGCCTTCAATTCTATCTTTTGTACATTCTGATTGGTGTTCTGTTTTACTGATGCAGCTACCCTGATGAATTTGAGAGTACACGTATAATTGGAGAAAGGCAATTCAAAATGGCAGTGGAACTATTTAACAAAGCTACAGAGAAGCTGCAGGGCAAAATCGGTTACCAACATGCGTATGTAGATTTCTCAAATCTTGAAGTCACAGTTCCTAAAGCAGGGGGCTCTGAGACGGTGAAGACATGTCCAGCTGCAATGGGGTTTGGTTTTGCTGCTGGGACAACTGATGGTCCAGGTGCTTTTGATTTTAAACAAGGAGATGATAAGGTAATTAAGCTTCTTAACTATCCTCTTGTTCCTAAATTTCTCTCTGAATCTTCCTTTCTCTAACAAAATGGAATCTGCTTCCTTTTGAAGGGTAATGACTTTTGGAGATTAGTGAGGAACGTGTTAACAACTCCTGGTCCGGAACAGGTCCAATGCCAAAAACCAAAACCCATTTTACTTGACACTGGTGAGATGAAAACACCATATGACTGGGCGGTGAGTGGCTATATCCTCTGATTCCTAAAAACTGATTGAAGATTTGAAATCATAGTGTGTTGACGATCTTTTAATTTGCACATGAACCATGCAGCCTTCGATTCTTCCGGTTCAGATACTTCGCATTGGTCAACTAGTCATCCTCAGTGTCCCCGGAGGTATGTCAATGAGCTAATAAACTTCTTTTAAAACCATTAGTGAAGCTAAAAGCCTAAAACTTGAATGGATATTTTAGCTGATTAAAACGCTGATTTGTGAATCTATAATTGGATCCAGAGTTCACGACAATGGCTGGAAGGCGCCTCCGTGACGCCGTGAAGTCTTTTCTCATCTCTTTGGACAGCAAGGAATTCAACAACAATCTCCACGTCGTAATCGCAGGTCTCACCAACACGTATTCTCAGTACATAACCACTTTCGAAGAGTACGAGGTTCAAAGATACGAGGTTTGTTATAAGAAAAAAAATTTTGATCGTTGACTCTGCTTTGCTTACAAGTCACGCCACTATGCTTAAAACAACTGCTTGTTTTTCAGGGAGCTTCAACGCTATATGGACCACACACACTCACTGCCTATATCCAAGAGTTCAAGAAACTAGCTACAGCTTTGGTTAAAGGTCAAACACTCCCACGCGGGCCTCAGCCACCCGACCTTCTAGACAAACAGATCAGTTTACTATCGCCTGTGGTCATAGACTCAACTCCTTTAGGAGTCAGCTTCGGTGATGTCAAAGCCGATGTGCCTCCAAAGTCAACGTTCAGGAGAGGCCAGCAAGTCAACGCGACGTTTTGGTCGGGATGTCCACGAAACGACTTGATGACGGAGGGATCTTTTGCTGTTGTGGAGACGCTGCGCGACGGAGGGAAGTGGGTCCCAGCATACGACGACGATGACTTCAGTCTAAAGTTTAAGTGGTCAAGACCGGCGAAGCTGAGCCCGGAGAGCCAAGCCACGGTTGAGTGGAGGATACCGGAATCTGCGGTTGCCGGAGTTTACAGGCTAAGACATTACGGAGCTTCTAAGCCGTTACTTGGATCCATTACAAGCTTCTCGGGTTCTTCTAGCGCCTTCGTAGTAGTATAACAAATTACCTAAACTCTAAAGTAAACATATCGCTGCATGGTGTATAATTTACGAAATTAAAAGAGATGAAAAAAGGTTATAGGTGAAAAGTCAAAGCCAATATTGTTTCCTTCATGGATTGTGGAATGATATTATCTTTTATGTTATAGATAGAAGAAATTTTCCTTTTCAGCATAACATATCCATGGTATGATTTGTGACACAAAGCTAAGAGTTACTTAGCAGAAAGAGAGGTAAATATAAATATTAGCCTCCAATATCGCTAGTTTTTATACCCTTTTAACCACATCACAATTTTCTTAGTAAGTGTGTATACCTTGGATGAAGATAAATTATCCGGTAAAACACATGCTACACAAAGAAAAGGATACATATGTAATAGTGTAATACACAACTTGGGGAGAACCAACACCAGTTTTTTTTTTTTTTCACAATTATTTTAATTAATTACTCACTCTTACAAACTTTCTCATGAGTTACATACAAACCAACAAAAAAAAAAGAGAGCAAATGATATCACTCTAAAACTAGGAGACTCCTTGGAAAGGCATTTTAAGGGTATCAAAAATAGCATTCTGTGAAAACGTCTTCCTGAATCTCTCCAACAACTCTCCTCCATCATTTGCCTGAGCCGCTGCATCAGCCGCTTCTTTCGCCATTCCAATACGAGCATAAGCCTGAGACGCCACAATTAAAAAAAAACTCACACTAAAGGCTTTGATAGATTCATAAATAATCGAATCCAAGAGTAGATATATGTTATATCCAGAGCAGACCTCGCCTCTTTCTCCAAGATCTGACAGCTTGGGGATGTATTTTAGAGCCTCCGCTTTCTCATCTGCATCGATGCATGCCTCCACGAATGGACGGAAACCTTCATGATATATAATGCAAGTTAAACCATGAGAGATGAACCGAAATGAATTTTCTGCCCTCTTCAAATCAGACTAGTACAGGATGCAAATGCTAACTAACAGTGAAACTACTATCATAAGGCTGCAAAATTACCTGTTGGTGGTCTCTTTTCCTTTGAAAACTTCTC